ATGAAGTGAGTGTTTACAATTGTTGAGTCCCATGAAGAAGCTCTAGACGGAAACTTTTGTTTTGTGTTTACCTTATGATTAAAATTGTTGCATGTTTGCCGGTTCCCACCACTAAATGAGCTAGTTTTAGCTACTTGTACATTAAGGTGGTGTTCAGAAAAAACAAAAAAGCCTTAATCAGTGTAAATGATACAATGATTTCAGGCCTCTGGTGGATGAACGAAAACAAAAACTGCAAAAGAACGTACCTCTTAGTATGTATTTGGTGTTCTCCAGAAATGTATATAGAGGTACGTTTTCAGAATGAGTCTGGGTTGAAACATTGATACATGACCCCGGTTAAAAAATTTAAATTGATTTAACTGAAATATCGCCATTGTTCTAAAAATAAAAATCAAACCGCGTGAAATGTATGTAATACCGAATGGACACCTAATATGTTTCATGCAGGAAACACGGTGAGTTCATCTTCATGAGTTCATTGGAATACGCTGCTGAGTGGGAGGAAGGTCTTTGTGGTTGGTGAGAGTGAAAAGGCTTTGATGAGCTGCAGACTGTGAATTTCTCTCTGTTTGTGCGTGGCGACCTGCTGGCCTTCATTAACATGCCTCAGTAATCAGTCTAATGAGCAAACACAGAGGAGATGGAGGAAAGAGAGAGTAAGAGGACAAAATTGGGGATACAAGTGTGTGAGAGATATTGTAACAGTGCCAAGAAACACCACGTACAGTTTTGTTTCTGAAAAAGGTCACATGTAGGCTACTATTTCTGCCCCTTGAGCTCATTATGACAGACTGTTAAAGGTTTTGTAGCCATCTAAAGATCGTCTTTAAAATGAACAATATGGGGCGGTATGACGCTGTTCTTTTTTACCTCACTATGGATGGGTTTTTTGCTATTACCAGTTTGTCTAGTGACTCGCAGTGTATGTCAATGAACTTGAGAAGCAAAGAGGAGTTTACTACGACGACGGAGTCCAGTAAAAAACGGTTCCAGAAAGCCAAAAAATAGTAAATAACAGGGTGAGAAAGTGGTATAATCTGAAAACGTGGTTCAAATCAGAATGCTTATCTTTACTTCGATTGCTTTTCAAAACACTGTTGATTGGGTTTAGGGAAGTTGGTGGGCACTGGTCAATCTACTAGTTCTTATTTATTAGATACTAGAACTTATTTTAATAGTGACCAGTAACTATTTCGTTGTTCCTAGTAACAATTTTTTTTTTCCATTGATTTCTATAATGTCATTAAGATATCAACTATTCAGTTTTGACTAATATGTATTCCAGCTTGGCTAGTACATATTTTTACAACCCAGGCTCATTCTAGAAACGAAGTCCCAAGGACGATTCTGGACACTGAGAAATACGACTGCCGTTGTGCCTGTTCTCACGTAAAGCCACCGAAGGCCGCTGTCGAGCAACCATCTGTCTGACTGACTGACTGACTAAATGACTTAACGATTGACTGGTTGGCCGGCCAATCGACCGACCCACCCACCCTCCTCCTCCTCTTCCTTCCCTAAACACAAGCAACGATTTACAAAAGCCGTCCAGAAAAAGAAAAGCCCTTGTCTGATTTTGACCGCTTTTTCGGATTTCACGCATTTTCTCCCCATTATGAACTCGTTCGCTTTATTTTTTGGATTCTGTTTTTTTGTCTTACCTGATTTCTGAAACCGCTCTTTTCCGGACTCAAACCTAGTCGTCGCAGCCGGCTCCCCTCCAGGCCTCCGCTCCGCCGACATAACACGACGAGCTAACTGGACAAACTGGTTGCGGTGGGAAAGCCCTCCACACGGAGGTAAAGCGTCGGCCAGCGAGCGCAAAGAGGAGCGGCATCACACCACCCCGTAGCATTCGCTTGAAAAAATTAAATGCAGCCATACGTACCTCACGCAACGTAAATCGCAGTCTCCAGAAACATCCGCGTGGCTACGTTTTCAGAATGAGCTTGGGTTGTGTTTTTATGTAGTAGTTAATTATTAGATACTTCTAAGATAGCATTTTAAGGATCCAAGCTTTACCAATAAATAGATCCACACAAAATCCGTAGATTTTTTTTTTGCCTATAAATTCCATGTATTTACTTGTGTAAATGTGTGTAAATTTATATTTATTCAGTTTGTTAATTAATTTGACCAATATTATTGTGATACAATAATAGTTATATTAATATGTTCATATGATTTATTTACAATTTTGAAAGCTAATATTTTCTGTCTTTTAGTAGAGTTATTATATGAGAGACATGCTTTGTTTACTAAATAAGTGGATCTAATTGGATTTCCATTGTAAAAATTAAATAAAAGTTAAAAATGTAATATTATTTATTTAGTAAATTAGGTTTTTAGTCATGATACTCCTAAAATCATTTAGCATAATCTAAAATTCTCAGCAAAAATAGCAAAAAATGTCCGCTAGTTCTGTCTGGCCCTACCAATAAGTCACTTAATAAACAGTTAAAAAGCATATCCTGTTGTCTGGCAAAATAGATATGACTTTAATTTTGATTTATAAAAGATTACACTCATTTCTACAGTACATGAATTACCAGTCGTTGCACCAAAATGAGTCTGAAGCAGACAGAACATTAACGTTGTCAACTGTTTGTTCACTTCCCTGTTTGTGATCTGAAGTTCGAGCACATACAGAAGCAATTAAACATGGTATGCAAAGGCAGCACATGGCAGCAGCATTTAGAGTAATAGAAGACATATGCCACTTACAGTTAATAACACTGTAACTTAGCATGACTATTGAGTCTGTCTTAAAAGTGATATGATAGTCAGAAGTATTCATTTTTAATACTAAATATAATAAATACACCTGAAAGATGCTGTAAGTATGATAATAAGTCAGTAATGCCTCTATCTTGCATTCAGATGAAGTTACATGATCCTAGTTCCAATAGTTTTAAAAGAAAACATAACATTTTGCTGTACATTGTTCAGCACTTCAGTATAATAAAGTGCAACAGAATCTCAAACACACACACACAAAATCACACTCTTTACCAAACACGCTTTCTAACTAACAAACATACGTAAATACTGTTTGCACACATTTAAAGTGATTCCAAATCAAACATTTATGAAAAACATTGGTCACTGCTCAACCAGCCAAAGCACAGAAAAGTACTTTTTTTATAGTCGTTGTCAGTTCATGTTCATTTCTGAAATGTTACAGCACTAAACATTCTCTCCGCCTCACCCAAGTCCAATAAACAAAGTTAAATAGCAGAGGAGTATTGATAGCACCTGTTCATGTTAGCTATTAAAGGGTTAGTTCACCCAAAATTGAAAGTTTTGTACTGCAAACAATGGCTGTGACCGTGACAAAAAACTGTACAAGTTTTCTTAATACAGTGCTCAGAATAATTGAGTACATCCCATTTTGAAAATGTATATTTTAATCTATTTCTCTGTAGATATGGGCGATGTATTTTGGTGCATTCGAGCAAAACAGATTTATTAAACTGATATATTTATTGAAAAAAAATTTTAGTCATTGAACATCTTTAGAACTAAAAAGATAATACAATTAAATTCAAACTAAATATTGCAAAAAATTACAAAATACAAAAATTCATCATTTTATATATGTATTTATTATATATTTTTTTTGCTTCTCTTAATTATGCTCTTTTAAAATAATAATATTTTCCTCAAACGTATACATTTTTGGACAGTTATCGTAAGTTATTTTGCAATCCAGGCTCATTCTGAAAACGTAGTCCCATGGACGTTTCTGGAGGCTGCGAAATACGTCCGGGGAGGTACATATTTGTGCAGATTTTGTTTTTGTGAATTCGCGAGAGGCCGATGTGTGCGCTTTTTTGCATCTCAAATTTCTCTCGCGAGTGCCGTTCCCATCCACGCTGTTCTCGCGTAAACCCACCAGAGGCCTTTGTCGATTGACCATCTGTCTGAATGACTTAACGGCCGAATGGCAGACCGGGCGACCGGCCAATCAAATGAGCCACCCTTCTCCTTCCCTAAACCCAACCAATTTTATCAATTGACCCACCCGTTTGCTCACTTCCCTAAACCCAACAGACCATTTACAAAAGCCATCCAGAAAAAGAAAAGCCCTCGTCTGATTTTTACCACATTCTCACCCTGTCATTCACTTGTTCATTTTATTTTTTAGATTCGGTTTTTGTCTTACTTGATTTCTGGAATCTCTTTTCACCGGACTCGAACCCGGTCGTCGTCATCGTTCTCAACTCCTCTCTGCACCTCAAGTCTGCCGACGTACACGACAAGCTAACAGGACAAACTGGTTGCGGCGGGAAAGCCCTCCACATGGAGGTAAGCGGTCAGCCGGTAAGCGCGAAAAGGAATGGCGTCATACCGCCCCGTAGTGTTCGCTTAAATAAATTGAATGCAGCCATACGTACCTCCAGCTACATAATTTGCAGTCTCCAGAAACGTCCATGGGACTACGTTTTCAGAATGAGCCTTGTTGTTATTTTGTTAGATAAGCTCCAGATTTGGATTCCTTACTGACTAATCTTATGCATATGCACAAATATAATATTGTAAAGCCTCCAATAGAAAATATTACTTTAAATAAGAGATTTGTGAGGGGCGTACTGTATATATGGTGAATAACAATAGACTTTTACAGGATTCCCCGCATGACGCTGCAATTTTTATGTTTTGTTTTACATCACTGCAGATCTTTTAAGGTTTTTTTTTTCGCACCAGTGTTGAACATTAAAGTTTTTGTTACATCTAATGTTGATGAATAATGTTTATGACATTGCTTTTACGTCATGTGTGGTACATGGTGGTGTTTGGTAATGGTGTGAATGAAACAGAGCCCCTTCTGTATATCAGTGTTTTGTTTTGTTTTTGTATTGATTTTGGATGAGTATTGGTCAATTGTATGACTTTCTCATCACCACATTCTTTAAGGTTATGTTTTTTGTTTATGTAACAAAGATACAATGTGAAGATTTAAGTACTTCAAAACATCAGGGAATCAACAATACAAATTAATTAAATGTGGTAGTTTATGTAAAGTTTGGCAACTACAGCTGCCTTTTTTTTGTACATTTTTTTGGATATTTTCAGCATTCAGCAGCGCGACACTAATGGTTTTGTCCATAGTAAATGTGCACCCTGATCTGATATAGAAGACACTGGAGAACAAAGTTGTTTTTACAGTTTTCATGGTGCACAAAAGAGTTCTTGGAGCTTCATATTACAGTTGAACCACTGACGTCACATGGAATGTTTTGACAATGTTTTTGGGTCCTTTCAAGGTCTTGTAACCATTGCTGTCAATAGAGGACGAGATAGCTCCAAGAATGAATCTAAAATACCTTCATTTGTATTCTGATGAAGAGTGTCAGGGGGTTGGAACAACATCAGGTTGAATAATTAATAGCATAGTTTTCATTTCTGGGTGAACTAACCCTTTACATAATCCTTCCATATATAACTGTTTCTACTTTGTATGTTATGATGCCATCCAAAGAATGGAGATGTTGGTCCCACTCTCATGGGTAATCTGGTTGATTCGTCCACGAACACAGTCTAGGGAAACATAGATGGCAGTGCCATTCTGAACATCGAAGGAAGTTCTCAGCCCTACGCTGGCCCACTCACTGCCTTCAGGCATATGTCCACCCACTTGCTGGCTCAATGGTGTAGGCTGACCTCCATCCATACTCTGCCGGTAAAGGGTCAGCTTTACCACATTGCAGGAATGAATCAGTTTTAGGTTGAGGGCTACACTGACTGTCCCAACCTCAGTAAACAAAAAGTTCCTATGAGCATATGGCTCACTTGATGCAGCTAACCGCATTTGCTCGGTATTTGGACTCATTTGCCTGAAGAACAGGGGTTTGTTTCGAACTGCCCCAGTGGGTAGACCTGTTCTAGAGACAGTGGCCGTGAATGTGGAGGACACTGTGGTAGGGATCCAGATCAAGCTCAGCATACTAATACCAGAGCTATCGCCAAAGTAACGGACATTGCACTGAGATGGAGCGACAATCTCAAAATTGAGCCAGTCTTCACTGTCTACCCTTGTGGCTCCAGAAAGAGTGATAGAGGTGTCCCTGTAGTTAACACCAGACTTGAAAGAGCGCAATATCTCCTGGTTAGTGCCATTTCGGCTGACATATGCAATCAGTGAGAAACCTTCTCGAACACATGTGTGGCCCATGGAATAGACAGCCTGTTGGAGCACAAATTTCACCACACCGCTCTCCATGAAGCGCACCCCACGGCTGTCATGAGTCAGTGACACAATGTAGGGATCAGAGACAGTGGAAATACGGAAAGTTGGACGGTAGTTACTCTGGTAATGGGCTGCTGTGGACATCTGAGCAGTCATGGCCACAGCACCAGTGTCATGGGAAAGCCAGAGCAAGCTGAACGAAGCACCTCCAAGCTCGTAGACTTGGATATCTTTACTCTGATTGCAGTATTGGTTAGGACTCTTCAGAACTAGTGTAAGATTCTGATTTGGTTCCACTTCGGCTGCAGCACTTACAGTCACACCCTGGAAGAACTTTCGTTCAGGTTGCTCAATTCGAACCCCGCTTAGATCGTGTCCTTCCTCTTCACTACCGTTTATTCGTATCCCAACCTGGAGAAAGTTCCTGCAGCTGTGCTTTAGTGCAAAGTTGTAATCTATCCAGACAAGTCCATGTTGTTGGAGGTTGAGGTAATCATCATGGTTAATCAGTAGGTTGTTTCCTTCTTTGCCACGGATTTTAAGCTGTAGCCCTGGGTAGATGGAGGTACTCCTCAGTTTAATTGGTGGTATGATAATTGAAGCAGCCCAAGACAATGAGAGCATGTTCTCAGACACACTTCCACATACAGCGTCACTGGTGGAGGTGCAGGGAACGGCAACCGGCTCACCATCGCAATCTGAACAAGCCTGGCACTCCTGAAGTTCTTGATTGTAGAAGTACTCAAGACCACACAGTCCTGTGGAAATCTCCCTCTCTGAGACACCAAGACAACGAAACCCTCCTGAAAAAAGAATAAGAAATATGGTAAATACCAAAATACTACTAGAGGACACACACTGAAGAGGTGTAAAGTTTTAATTTAGCTTACCTGGAGTATTGAGACATTTTACTCGCTCTCCACACAAGCTTGGTAATTCTAGGCACTCATCCCTGTCCTGTTGATAGATATAAGTTATTTGTTATATAAGACAAACTAAAGGCTCATGAAAAATGGGACAATTTTTGATTGCGCCTATTGTCAGTGTATTTTGAGATATTGTTTGCCATACATGTCCAAGCAATTTTCATTGCTGATGAGCAGAGTGAATGTGTAAAATCACTCCCTGCCATTAGATAATGCTTAGTGAATAATTAACAGAAATACACTGTACACAAGGTGGCGGTGCGCAACTTCAAACTTCTAAACCTCATAATTTTTTTCCAACACAGGCTCATTATGAAAACGTAGTCCTGTATACATTTCCGGAGATCGCGAATTATGCAGCCAGAGGTACGCATAACAATACGGGGCAATGTGATGACGCTAATGGCTTCTATTTATTTTCACGCTGCACACCAGCTCACGTTTACCTCAGTGTGGACGGTTTTAAGTTTGTCCAGTGGCTCGCCACGTACATTGGAGAACTTGACATGCAGAGTGGAGTCGACGGCAATGACTGGGTACATGTCTGGTGAATAACCATTCCAGAAAGCAGGTAAAACAAAAGTCAAACAATAAAATAAACCAGTAAATAAAAGGGTGAGAACGTGGTAAGATCTGAAAACATGGTAGAAATAAGGTGGCAGCGAGGGCTTTTCTTTTTTTCTGGATTGCTTTTAAAAACACTATCGGTTGGGTATGGGGAAGGAGGTGGGTGCTAGTTAATCGACTCTTTTGAAAACATTATTGGTTGGGTTTGGGTTGGAGGAGTCAGTCGACAGTGGCCAGTGGTGGATTAACACAAGAAGAGCAGGCATGAATGGCATTCTGAAGATTTGACATCTGAATAAACGTACACAGCGACCTCTTGCAGACTTGTAAAAAGAAAAACTACAAAAAAAAAACTTCTTCTGGGGAGTATTTCACTTTTTTTCAGAATTGTATATCTGGAACGTACAGTATCTAAAATAAGCCTGGGTTGTTTTTTCTTGTGCATTTATTGGATAGGGGTTTCTACTCCTGTTTAATCTCATCCGCTACAGCACAAAAATGTCTAGTCAAAAGTTTTTGAAAACATATTTAAAGCCACGAAAAAATAATAAAATCATGACACCATCTAATCCTTTTTGATCAGCAATCGCAATGTGAGCACCACTAAACTGTTTTACTATAACCTCAGCAACTCTAGGCAAGTGAACAAAAGCGTGTCGGCCGTGCATTTATTTTGTAATAAAATTAGTTAGTGCTAATGTTGCATTGTTAGTGAAACAAGCACATGTTGACCATACATTTGTTTTGCACTAAAATTAGTCAGTACTACTTTTCCAATTGTATTGTTTTACCTGAAATACTGTATATTGCAAATTGTGGCATGTTGCATGCTGTGTTGTATTGATGATGTCACCAGCTGCTAGTCGACTCTCAAGTAGTTCAACCCCTAGTGCACTCTTACTGGCACGCTTATTTACAAAGTTTTAAATGTCGGCAATAAGCACCAGAGAAAACTGTCCCATTGTGCACAACCTGTAAACATTAAGACGTATAATAACTTTATCAGTGATGGGTCGGTCTTAAATGATTCTTTCATTTTGAACAAATCTTTTATGTGACTCGAGAACAATGAGGGCTCTGGGAGTGATTCGCCCATTCGTGCATGCGCACATTTGTGCATGTGGAGAAGGTTAGTTAATTTTTTGAGTCCTCTTGGGTTTGAGTCGTTCGTCATCATGTGAAAGACAGGAGCCAATCCTATGCAGTCAGAGCCAGAAATATATTTGACCCCTTCATCGTTCGAGTCCTTGGTTTGAGTTGTTCACTCATCACATGAGAGACAGAAGCCAATCATATGCATTTAGAGCTGGAAAAAAGATTTGATCTGTTCATTTCTTGAGTCTTCGATTTTGAGTCATCTCTCTTTACATGCTGTCACGTGATGAATGAACGACTCAAAAACCCAAATACTCAAAAGGTGAACTAATCATGGGTATGGCTCAGTCTGTACGCATGGGTTAAGCTTATATGGGACTGTCAGCTTCAGGTGAATGAACGACTCAAATTTGAAGACAAGCCAGATGAGCACAGCTAATCATAGATAAAACATCAGGTAAACAATAAGGCATTAATTTCTTTTTCTTAGCATAGTAGCATTGCATTGTACAGTAGTTTTTCTAGTTATAACTTGTTTGTAGTGTGATCAATGTTTGCGCTAGTTATAGATGTGTTTGGAAGCATCTTGTAACATTTGAATGTTATTTTGGCAAGTTGAACGAATTGATCGAAATGACTCGAAAAAATATCAGTTCATCTCGATGAACGAGACTCAAAGGTCGGAGTCAGTAAAATGATCCAAACTTCCCAACAACTAAACTTTATCAGGTCTTTACTGAAATCATATGTGTTAAATGCATAATGCAGTTGTCACCTGGCACATCCTATCAGCGGTGGGCGAGCACTGTGACACCAGAAAGAATCCAGGTGGACACACGGTGCACTTTTCACACTGTGGTTGATCCTTCTGGAAGTCGCAGAATTCTTCAGGCCCACATATCGTTTGGCAGCCCAACAATGGGTGCCCTGAATCCCCAACAACATTCATCACCTTGGCGTCCACATCAACCTTATGCACGGCATAAGATTTTTGCAGATGACTCCGTGCTTGGTTCTGAAGACTCGTCAGGTGACTTTCGAAATAGCTTTGCAGTTCTCCCTGCAGGCCTTGGAAAGAGACTTGCTTGATGGTGTCAGAAAGCAGACCGTACTGAACTTTCACCACATCCATCTGCTCAAACATGCGACGCTGCTGGTCGAGGATCTCTCGCTGCTGGGAGAGAAGGGTCTCCTGCTGGTCCACCAGCCTCTTCTGCAGATCACGAATCACCCCTTGCTGAGCTCTCAAAGCCTCCACGAGCTTCTCTTGTCCCTTCGCCAGCTGTAGATGTAGGATAAGTGCATCCTCTGCAGGTACTTCATTCTCTCCTTGTAAAAGAAGGAAACAAACAAGATTAAGGGGTTATAATCCAACAAGAACGGTTTAAAATGTTTCTTTAGGACTTACACTGGTCCTATCAACCTTATACAGTGGGGGAAATAAGTAGGTAAGGTAATGACCAAAGACATCCATTTATGAAAAGAAAACAAAACTAATTAGTTTACAAATTAAGTTATTTGTAATAAAATTTAATTACGCAGGGGGGGAAGTATTGAACACATGAAGAAAGGAAGGTGTAGAAAGGAAGTGAAAGCCCAGACAGCAGCAGAAATTTCTCAGTAGTTATTCAGCAACCCTCTGCCCTTCATCATTGGAAATGCTTCAGTCAAACATCTACATTAGCAGGAGGATGAAGATGAAACCAACTCAGGCTCATTCTGATTACGTAACCCTATATACATTTCTGGAGAAAGCAAAATACATCCCAGGAGCTACGTTTTTTTTTGCAGTTTTTGTTTTTGGAAATCCAGCAGAGGGTGCTGTGTATGATTATTGAAATCTCAAATTTCTCTCACGAGTGCCATTCGCATCTGTTGTTCTCACATAAATCCACCTTCCCTAAACCCAACCAATAGTATTTTGAAAAGCACCTATTGACCCGCCCACCCCCTTCCCTAAACACAACCACATTGTTTTGAAAAGCAGTCCAGAAAAAGAAAAGCCCCATTTTTACCACGTTCTTAAATGTTACCACATTATCACCCTGTTATTTACTTGTTTATTTGATATTTTTAGCTTCTGTTTTTGTCTTACCTGCTTTCTGGAACCATTTCTTACTTAAACCCAGTCAGCACAGTTAACTCTGCTCTACATCTCAAGGTCACTGACGTACGTGTCGAGCTACTGGAAAAACTGGTAACAGCAGGGAAAGCCGTCTACACACAGGTAAGCGATCAGCTGGTTAGCAAGAAAAGGAACTGCATCATACCGCCCCGTAGCGCTTATTTGAAAGACAATGATCTCCAGAAACGTATAAGAAGCTTTGTTTTCAGAATGAGCCAATGTTGGATGAAACCGAGGTGGTCATTTCAGCAAGACAATGATCCAAAACACAGCCATGGAAACTCTCAGATGCTTTCAGAGAAAGAAAATCAAGCTGTGGAATGGCCCAGACAATCACCTGATTTAAATCCAATAGAAAATTCTAAATAAAGCTCCGGTTTTATAGACGAGACCCACAGAACCATCAAGATTTTTACACTCTGTTGAAGTCTGTGAAAAGCTTATACCTGAGCAGTGCATGTGACTTCATTCTCCATATGAGAGGCGTCTTTAAGCTGACAAAACAGCCTTTTATATAAGGTATTAAATACAGTAGTTAAGTACTTTCTCCTTAAGTCATTCCTTTGCTATTACACATTATTAATTTTTCAGGGGGGTGGGGGTGTTTTGTTGTATTTTAATATTTGCATTGTTTGAGTTTTTACCAAAATCTGGTTCAATTCCATGTCAACAGCTCCTTTAGACATATTATTCCCATTTAAAAAACATGACATGTTCAATACTTATCACCCCCCCCCCCCCCCACACACACACACACACACACACACACACACTGTGTTTCAAAACAGATCAACTGGAATATTTGAGATAATGCATCTACTATAAACTGATGTCAATTACATTCTGAACAAGTAATTAAATAGAAATAAAGTCAACAACTTTCAGATATGTGAAAGTCAAAGTGATTGCACTGCAAATTTCTAAACCAAGCACTTCTAAGCTACAACTATTTCAGTCACATGGAAATGGATCAAAGTAGTCTGCAATTTCTTGACAGTTGACTGCCAGCGCTTCTGCAGCTCTAAAACTCTCGGTGTAGCCAAGCAGATGTGTATGTTTGCAATAATAGTTCCCGGGCCAGCTGTTAAATTCTTCTGCTCATTGATCTTTGGAAATACCAGCGCTCATGTGAAAATCAAATAAGGTATGAGTTTTATGAAGCCTGATCGCTTGTGTACTCCTCAATCCGGAGGCGTGCATCTCATATTGGTCAAGGACCACAGAGAGAATTCCTTTGTGTTAATAAATTTACTCAGAAGTCTCACGCAAACCAGAATAAGGTTTGTCCTTTAGGGATAAATTGATTTCCTCTGTTCAGGTTTGGTCAGAGTACCAAACATTTTTTTTAAAGTTCTATGTAACAGCAGACAATGACTGTAACAAACAGAAGTGTGAAAAAACCAAGGTACAGTGATAGTATGCTGGCCTGATTCTGGAATTACAGTACTACAGGGTTTTTTTCTGGAATTAAAGAGTGTTGTATTATATTAATATGATCACATATTGTGTTACATATTGTGTTATGATCACATGATGTGTTGTATGATATTACATCTATCAAATCCTACTACTGAAATTGTGCAGCATCTACATGACCATTGCTTTTCTTAGCAGTGTGGAAAATATAACCCTTTATTTAAAAGTGTCCTTGTAGCACAAAATTAGTTATGTTACTATTTATACTATAGTTAATATTTATATATAAAGTTTTTACTGAAGATTTGCACCATGTTTATTTGGACTTATTTTTTATTTGTTCATTGTAAGTGGTGTTGTTTATGGTATCTGAACATATATTATTTGGGGAAAAAAGTCCAACTTGCTTGAGTGTTCTGTTGTTTTGTAACAATCCTTCTGTTTAGTTCATTCCCAGAACTTTTGGGCATATACATTGTCAGTAAATAAAATGTACTAGTTTTGAACGCCTTGGAATAACAATAAAATAACTTGCTTAGGGAATGGTGGATGTAGACAAAATGCATGTTGGATTTACAAAACATCCTAGCATAACTTTCTAAAGAAACAAAATCAAACTTCAAGAGATTTTGTTTGTAATAACTAGAAAAAGACACTTTTTTTATTGTTTTTCCTAATATTCTAGAAACTTTTCTGTCTGTTTACATGTATTTGAACCAAAAAACTATTTTAGATTGGACTATTAAATAATACAGATTGAAGCGTCAGGTTCTCCTGTTTAAAATGATATATGACACTTGAGGCTGATTGCTAAAAAATAAAACTGCTTTTAAAAATAATAATAATATAGGTCCATTGGGTACCCAGAAAATAGGTCTTTATGTGTTAAATGAATAGTTACATATTAAAAAGGACACCTTAAAATAAAGTGTATCCCAAAACTTTTATTCATATTCTGAAGGGTTTTTATATGTAATAAACTTTGCCTGTTGTGATGAGATGATTAAGCATTCAGATCTTAGCACTGAACGAAAACTCCATCATTGTGAATTTTAAGTGGATTAATCTGAACACTTCTGATTGGTCTTTCATGAACAAACATAAATATGAACTGGACTGTTTTCCATTTTGATGTGATTACAGCTTTGACTATTGCTGAGGGTGGTCTTGCTGTAGTTTGAGGGTGTATAGCACATCTAGCAAACTCGTAGAACTGGGCTTGTTTTTGTCAGATAAAAGAAGTGTGAGATCAAACGCAAGATGATTATTGGGTTGTCTGGAGGGGCTTTGTGAATTTTGTTATAGTTGTAACATCATTGGTGAAATCATTGGGTAATTTGTAATTATTTTGTAATAAATAACAAAATAAAATTTTACAATTATTTGCTAAATTGCTCGTTCATTCATTTTCCTTAGGATTAGTCACTTTATTTATCAGGGGTTGCCACAGCAGAATGAACCGCCTTACTAAATTGTTAAATGTACTAAAAATAATAACATGGTATTACCATAAACAAACCACATAATAATACTGTAGCAATTATTGATGTGTTTTTATTGTTATTTATTAATTATTTTATTTGGCATAAGTAGTGGGCCTAAATATTGGTAATATTTCACATTTTTTAAATAAAGCAAACTTACTATACTCCTATTTTAAACTGAGAAAAAAAGGCTGGTAACATCATTTCAAGTGTTAACTACTGGCTAATTACCTACTTATTATTAAGACATCGGCTGTTTAGTATAAAGTGTGTGACCTTATTCTACATCCATAATCATATCCAACAGCTAAACCCCACCATTAACTTACTAACTATTAATAAGCAGCAAATTAGTAGTTTACTGAGCTAGAATTCTTAGCTATTATAGTGCTGATTAAAATGAAGTGTGACCCAAAAAAGTAGTATAAAAATAATTTGGGTTGGATGTCTTTTTCAATAAAGTCAAACAATACAAAAGCCTACTCTGTTTGCGTAAGCGTTACACCAGTTTTGAAACCAGATACATTCATTCAAGAGCAGAACAGCTGGAACCACAGTTTCACTTCACCTGGTTTGATGTCACAAGTGAGCTGAACTCCCAGAGGAGCCCCGGACTCTGATGCAGGATATCCAATGTCCGGAAATTCCCCCAGAAACTGAGCGGCTCTGTCTGCCACATGGACGAGGGGAGGTTGGCTCGTCCCGGGCACACACCCTTCTCCAGCACAGGGTCTGCGTATCCTCAGAGGCAGACGGCACTCAATTCCTTTACATTCACCGGTGTCGTTCTTTACATGATCTGGTCTAACGCAATCTGCGCACACAGGAACAAAACCTCCAGGCACGCGCGTCTGGACGCTTTCCCTTGTCTGGTCTCCAGACCGCCCGCGCTGGGACAGAAGCGTTGCGTGATTTTCTGATGGAAAGCTTGAGTGAGGATGGTGTTGATTTATTGATCTACCATGTGTCGTCGGGTTGTGTTGTCGCGACGGTTTGTGCGTTCTATGCCCCGGACAGTGTGATCCGGAGCAGGGTCTGGCGTCTCCAGAGTCTCCCGAGCGCGCGGAGCGGAACGCGCATAACACATAAATCATCAGCAGCAGCGTCTTTCTCAATGATGGCATTGTTCGTTCATTTATCCACCTAAAAGTGAGAATAACAATGTTGTTTGTGCTGGAAAAAATGGTTGATTGAAGCTGCACGCAGAAAGTTTTGCAAAAGCACAGATAATAAAGTCCTTCATAATTTAATCCACCCTTACTCGAAAGATGATGTGCATGTGTAAGTGAGCAGAACCCAAATGACTTTACCTGCAGCTGTCTTCTGTTGGAATGTCAGGGAAATATAAACAGCGGGAGGTGAGCATCTCTACTTCACTGCAATGTGTGTGTGTGTGTGTATGTGTGTGTGCCTCTCCAAACACTTCTGAAGGAGAAAATGTTGTGGGCTGTGTTCTAAAAACTAGCGAGTACCCTATCTAGGGAACATTTTGACAGCATAAGCATGAGCACAATATTTCTGTCCTAACTTTTTTGGACATTAACGATGCTTGCTTGCGAAACATATTTGTATGCATTTTAATCATCCACCAACATTTATGTAATTGTTTGAGGGATGTAAGCAGCTATTTATGTCTCACATGATGCCGTTTGGGTTTATTAAAATAAATGATAAATAATGACCAAAAGTTAATTAGTTAAGTTAGTTTTTAGTTATGAATTTTATTTTCTATTATACATAATTTCTCTTCAGTTTTTAAACAAACTTTACGCACATATATATATATCTAAAACAAATGGATGTGCCAATTTCGGTCCACTTCATGTTCTATAATGCACTTTATATGTATATTATAATAAATGTATGTGTATGCATTATGATATGTATTCATATAATGTCCAGAAATAATTCTCATGAGACCTGTAATGCCTAGTAATTCTTCACCAGTAACGTTCTAAACACTTCTGTGTCTGCTGTCTAGATAGACACTTGTTTAGTTTGAACACACAGCCTGTATGTGGCATTCCAAAGACCTAATTAGCATCAGGTTTCCCCAACCTGAGTTTAACCCCTCACTCTCCCCTTCTTTCATCTGTTTTTCATCCTTTGATGTTTATTTCCCCTTTTCGTTTAGTGCACTATGTTACACAGTGTTCGACTTGACACTTTTAACACCAAATTACAAAGTTACTCATGAGTTATCGTTAAAAAAAGGCTAGTCTAGACCTCCTCCTGTGAAAAAGGTGCACTTCAGCATACTATTTAAAATCGAGCACTTTAATAATATGACTTTAATGAAGTGCAAAATTAATATATGTAGTTAATTGCATGTCATTTACAGTAAATTAAAATGTATTGTACTTGAAATAATGTATACACACAGACACATACAAACAGAGAGAGAGAGAGAGAGAGAGAGAGAGAGACAACAATTAGTCAAAGTAACTTGATTCACTTTGGACGCAAGTAAATCTATGTTTATTGACACCAGAATAATAAAGGGACTAAGCCGGAAAGAAAACGGATGAATGAATGTTGAATTTGAAATCTGGATAAGTGTACTGCTAAATGTACTGACAACCCCTAAAATATACATTTTGTTGAAATGTGAATGTCATAAAAATAACCAAACCACTAAAAAAAAACACTTAAAGGAGACATTTTATGCAAAAATCACTTTTATAAGGGGTTTAAACACAGTTGTGAGGTAACAGTCTGTGAATATAGCCAGCGTCTAATGGTAAAATGTGTTAATTTTAATTTTTTATAATCACACTTCATAAAAAAACAGTCGGCAAAAACACTTTGACTAACATTCTCCTTTTGTAAGTGTTATCAGAGGGGAAAAGTCCTGCCCACTAGTGACAACCTCTCCCTCATTAGCATAGGAGGTTAATCATGTTTTTGAATGTCTATGCTGACACAAACGCATTTGTAGCTCCGCCCTCTTATGAAAAGAGCCCAATCTCATTTGAATTTAAAGCAACAGGCACCTAAATGGCACAATTAAGGTCAAAGCCTAAAACGGTCAGTTTCAAAAACATTATTTGTAGGGTACTCTGAACGGAAACTTCACATACACACTCTGACTCTAGAGACATTAGAGACTTGTTTTAGTTCTTGTAAAAAGGGACACAATAAGTCTTTTTTAGGTGCTTTAAGAAACAATTTGATATAAGTCTTATTAAGCACACCTAATGGCCCGTTTCCACTGAGGGGTACGGTACGGTACGGTTCGGTACACTTTTATAGCCGTTACCAGTGTCAAAAAGCATACCAAACCAAACCGTAACGTACCACTTTTCGGCACCCTTTTAAAAGGGTACCAAATGGGAGAAAAGGGTACTAAAAGGTGGAGCTACACGTGCAGCTGAACGCTGATTGGTTAGAGATACGTCATGAGCTCGTTGAACTACACAGAACGTAAACAAAGGAACCGCCATGTTTTTTTTTTTTTAAATACAAAGCCGAGACATTACATGGAAATACTACATGCATTTAATAACGAGCCATGGATGACCCGGGCTCAAACAAACCTTGACGTCGTCTCGGTGAACAGACACAAAGCCAAGAAGAAAAATCTGCTGTGTTCTGTTGTTGCTTTACGAGTCCGTCTAAAAGTACGAGCGGTATTCGCTTTCTTCCAGGAGCTCTCGATCGCGTCTATATTTGATTTAACGAACTTCTTGAGCTCATGATAATAACGTGTGTGTGATTATTGAAGTGTTTCCGTCATCTGATTCATTCAGAAAAAAAGGACAAGCACGAGAGTGAAGCGGGAGTGAAACGCAGAAAAAAAAGAGAAGCCGTCAAAACACAGTAGGTTTCAGCAACCTGAATCATGAACTGCTGTGTTTATCTTCGCCTTTTGGATTATTATAAACTGGGAATGACAAATTTACTCTTTAACAGAGTTTACATGTGCTGCTGAAGATTACAGACACAGATAAGAGGTTAGCTCTGACTGTGGGCTATATTGGATGTGTTTTGAGCTCAAATAAGTACTAAATGTTTGCTGTGTGTAAATTTTCTTTTATTAATAATATATCGGAGACTGTAAGGGGCGGTATGTGTTTATATATGTTGCATTTATGTATTTATTTTATATAATTACAGACGTTACAGTAGCCTATGTCATTGATCTGCAGTTATAATCAAATCATGTTCATAGAAAAGTTAGTAATAAACATTTATTAACAAGTATTTATGTGTAAAGCATCTGTTTTGTGAGAAGTGCAGCTCATTATGATATGTGAACGACCCGTACAGCTTTACTGTTGACATTTATTTGAGCGAGCATGACGTCGACTTAAATTTTGTCATACACCACGCCCACCAAAAGGGTACCCTTTGTGGTGGAAACGCAAGCCTGATAAAGGTGACCCGTACCGTACCGACCCGAACCGTGCCGTACTGTACCAGTCAGTGGAAACGAGGCATAAGTTGACTTTTATGTCATTTATATTATATTACCAGGGGGGAAAATGTCTTCCAATATTGGAATTTCCGTGCAGACAGAGTATTGAAAAGTTGTTTTAGGACCAGTGTCACCCTTGTTTGTGACCATGTCAGGTTTTCTTTTTAAGACAGACAGGATTTTGATTGTTTAAACAGCTGTTGTCTGTCATTCAGAATCTGTCACGCAGAAGGAAAAGTCTTAAAGGGTCAAGGTTTATTTGCTAGAGTTTAGCCGGCCATGCTAGACACATATTTGGAGAGGAGAGACGGGAATCCAGAGCTGTTGGTGACATATGATTAAGGAGATTTTAATTGTATGTGTTCACCATATTAAGATCTTTAACTGTATGTAGTGTTGGTTTATTGGTATTATTTGACTTTATTGAATAAGACATAGGCGACGCGGTGGCACAGTAGGTAGTGCTGTTGCCTGACAGCTAGAAGGTTGCTGGTTTGAGCCTCGGCTGGGTCAGTTGGCATTTCTGTGTGGAGTTTGCAAGTTCTCCCCATGTGCTCCGGTTTTCCCCACAACTCCAAAGACATGCGGTACAGGTGAATTGGGTAAGCTAAATTGTCCGTAGTGTGAGTGTGAATGGATGTTTCCCAATGATGGGTTGCGTCTGAAAGTTGCGTAAAAATGTGCTGGATAAGTTGCCGGTTCATTCCGCTGTGGATACCCCAGATTAATAAAGGGACTAAGCCTAAGTATGACATTAAATTTGCATATAATGTAGAATTTGAAGATTGGATATCTGTTTAGATACACATTTTTGTAGGCTACTAACACACTAAAAGGTAAAAAACATTCATTAGGATTTCACCAAGAATTTAACTCTCAAAGCTGATACTTAGTGCGCAGACACACTCTTTAGGTTTAAATTTTACTTAAATTACACATTTTAGCAAGGCATTTACATAACATACTTTGCTCTCCAGTTATATAGGTCATGAAACAAACAGTTTTTGTAATTTAGTAAAATCAAACAGATAAATTACAGGTTTCATGATGCTAAATAATGGTAGCAAATGTGACAGGTTTGGAGATATCTGCAAATATATTATGACTAGTCATATTCCTCTTTTGACTTCCATAGGCCTTTTTCACACTTCCTGGTTCCGGTAAGCGAAGCAGTGTACCACAACATCCGGTTTCAATGCGACGGAGCAAGAAAGAATGACAGGGTCATCTCATCGCTGTGATTGCTGAATTCCCAGCTGCTCCAACTATAAAACGACACTCTTACTTTAATGACCACGATCTCCCAAAAGACGAAGGACAGGGAAAATAATGGATGACAATATTAAAGGGGGTTGAATGCCGTTTTAAGTTATATGCGGGAGTACATTCTTATGCTGTATACACTTCAAAGCGGAGATTATTATGTTTCATTAAAAACTGATGGTCTATGGTTTATTTTGATGAGTAATTATAATATAGACAAAACTCCAGTTAAGCTATCTGCCTTCCACAAACAAGTGCTCATCATGGTCATTAATCTATAAGCATGATTTATCCCTACATTGTTGTTATTTTGAAATAGACAGTTCATACAAATACAAATCTCTCTTTTTTTTTTATTGGTTTGACAGCAAAATTATTTGTTTAGTCAGTTATATAATAAAGATGGTAAACTTTTCTTACAATGAAGTCCTTTATTACAAAATCTCAATAACCCAGCAAGTTTTCAACTGTTATTGGTTCAATTCCTGCAGAGATGTTATTCATTCATGTTATTTAGAGGTATTAATAAGACCATCCTTCTGATGCATCGTCTTTTGATATTACTAAATCTTATGTCGGCAAATTTTGTTTTACTAAATACCAAGAGTAATGATAGAGCTATTCATACTCTTTTCCAAAAATAAATCATTACTGTACCTTATATTCAATTTTATTATATGTCTTTATTAAAGTGTGAATTGAAGAAAAGCGTGGCTGTTACCACAGAAATATCATGTTAGAAATAGAATTAAAGAAATGTCCTATAAACTCATCCACAGGTTTTATCCAGCAAAACATTGTTTGCAAAAATTTAAAAGTGGGATTGATGTAAATTGTATTTTTGTAACGAATATGAGGAGACAGTTTTACACTTATTTTGGCATTGTACATAGTCAGCTTATGGGGTGAGCTGCAAAATGTATTAATAACGATTCTTTTGTGTTCAAAACCTCTTTTATTATGGATATATGTACATTTGGGCTTTACTTGATTATTCTAATCTAGAGGAAAATAATTTTATTAATTTAATTTGCTTATGTTGTTAACAAAATTGTACATTCAAAATGTAAATTTACTAATATGAAACCAGATTTTAAGGTATTGATGACTGAAATATGCTTGCATAATACCAGTATCAACTCGACCCATTTACTTTTGTGTGAACTCTACCATGTATTTTATTATTACATATGTTATAGTACATTTTGTATTGTAAAATGTTATTTGCTGTTCTTTAACTAAATAAAAAAAAAGAATATTATCCACGAGTAAGAGCTAACGTGTTTCCAGACTTGAGAAAACCTCACGAGCATTAAACAACCTGTAATGCATTAACCGATAGCAACTCGCCATTCACTATATCTGACTCTGAATAAAAAGGAAGGAAGGGGTTAGCACAGTTTACAGACGGGACTACTGACATAAAACTCATCCTGCTGGATGTTAAATAGCCAGGTTAATCTTGTTTACGAATGGCTTGAATGAGCAGATTTTATGCTGTTGGCTGTGCACTTTACTGGAACCTGACGTTGCAAACGCTGCGTGTAAGACACGTTTTCTGCACAAACTCTGCAAATCGGTATCATCTTTTAAATGCTGTTTTATTAAGGCAGTTTTACACATTCACCGAACAACATCTTCCTGTCCAAATTATGGCAAAGTTGACCGTGAGAAAGTCATCCGCTGTCCCGAAGCTGTCATGTCTCTGCGACTCCTAGCGAACCCGGAAATATCGATGCACTGCTTCAAAGGGCGCTTCCGGTGTTCAATTCCGCTGAGAAAAAGGTCTATTGAAAAATATTTGCAGAGATCTCTAAATGAATTTCGACTAGTCACAATTGTAATTAGAGATATCTATAACTGAGTTTTTACTAGTCATAATTACACTAGCGGCAAAAAAATCCCGGTAAACTGAGCCCACGTGACGAATGACATCAAACCATCCAGCGCGGCGCATGGAGCGGATTGGTTCAATGTGCTTCATCATTAGATACTAGTACTTATTCATTAGATACTAGTACGTATTCATTAGATACTAGTACTTATTAGATACTAGTACTTATTAAATAGATACTAGTATCTAATAAGTACTAGTATCTAATGAATAAGTACTAGTATCAAATAAATAAGTACTAGTATCTAATGAATAAGTACTAGTATCTAATGAATAAGTACTAGTAACTATTTAATAAGTACTAGTAACTATTTAATAAGTACTAGTATCTATTTAATAAGTACTAGTATCTATTTAATAAGTACTAGTAACTATTTAATACGTACTAGTATCTAATGAATACGTACTAGTATCTAATAAATAAGTACTAGTATCTAATGAATAAGTACTAGTAACTATTTAATAAGTACTAGTAACTATTTAATAAGTACTAGTATCTAATAAATAAGTACTAGTATCTAATGAATAAGTACTAGTAACTATTTAATAAGTACTAGTATCTATTTAATAAGTACTAGTAACTATTTAATACGTACTAGTATCTAATGAATACGTACTAGTATCTAATAAATAAGTACTAGTAACTATTTAATAAGTACTAGTATCTAATGAATAAGTACTAGTATCTAATGAATACGTACTAGTATCTAATAAATAAGTACTAGTAACTATTTAATAAGTACTAGTATCTAATGAATAAGTACTAGTATCTAATGAATAAGTACTAGTATCTAATGATGAAGCACATTGAACCAATCCTCTCCATGCGCCGCGCTTGATTGTTTGATGTCATTCGTCACGTGGGCTCAGTTTACCGGGATTTTTTTGCCGCTATTGTAACGTTAAGGACATGGATGACGGGCTACAGCGATGATTTAGTATCGCCGGAAAATAATGTGCAACGTACTGTAGCCGTGTTTGACAGAATGTATAATACATTACAACGTGCCAGACGCGAATTAACAGATACCACTTCAAATGGTACTACAAACCTTTTGACTGCGACGAGAACACTCTTCAGGAGACGCAGAAGTCAAGTTCAAGGTAAGCCTGAGTAATTTAAGTAGTCAAAGTATTTAAGTAGATTGTTTTAAAAGTGCATGCAGGAGGGGCAGATGAGATATTGATTTCCCTCATTTTTCCTGTTTCAAAACGGGATATAGCCCTCACATAGGTATGTATTAGCATTTAGAGACAGGAGAAAAAAAAAATTTCAAACCTTCAAATCATTTTAACACGAAATGTTTGAGTTTTTATCGTAAGGAAATTACGATATTTATTGCGTGATTAATGGAGTAATGGTATAGACAGAAGTACCTCGACGCCCGCTTCATTTCTACAACACCTCACCAGTTATGAATTCGCAATTAGTCCAATATTCGTTTTTCACAATTGCTTTGCTACAAATTTCATAACCCTGATATCAATTTTCAAAACTCTAGACATACAACTCTAAAAAACCGTCACTACTTTTTTTTGTCACGTTCTCTATATAACGTTATGGTATCACACATATATGATACACATACATATACTGTGTGTGTGTGTGTGGGTGTTCATATACAGCCATATATGGACACTTATATAAATTATAGGTAATATATTTGTAGGTAGAAGATGTAGGTAATATATATTTGTGTAACATATATCAGACTTTCTTGATTATAGTAATGCCAAGAATGAAACATTCTATGTATAAAGTGGTACATGGAACAGAGAAACCATATATAAGGAATAAAGTTCAATAAGGATGAAATCTATAGATAATGAGGTCCAGTTGGTCATCTTTTGTGGTAACTGCTGTTATTTGATCTATCCTGAAACTAAATTAAACTAAATTAAGTAAATGAATACATGGTTAGTTCAAATTTAATGTGTGAGTGGCATTTTAAAATAGGATCAATTTGATGTTTAATTGTATTCTATTGAAAAGGTAATTTTAGTTCAATAAACACAATATCTTTGGCTCGTGTGTTTTGTATCCAAGCATTTTTAAAAAAGTGTAAACATTTTGTAAAAATTTTACATTTTTGCAATGGTCGTGAATTTTGTGTATAGAGTTTTGAAAAGTAAAACCAGGGTAACGACATTTGTGGCAAAACGATTGTAAAAACTAAAAGTGTACATCAGAAATCTTATTCCAGAACATGTTTTGTCTTATTCTGAATTACTTTCATCATTGATGTGCTTCAAATAAGGGTTTTGGATTATTTTAGACTGGGCGTTTGCACATCAATTTAGCGTAATTTGTCGCACTGTACAACAATAATTACAGTGGCTTTTGCATTATTTTAAGGAGTAGGTTTAAGGGCTAAAGTGTTCTTCTGCAAGACACATGCACTTATGTCTATTTACCACTATAGCATCAAACCTTAGGTAAGTTACTTAAGTGATTTCAATGAATCATAAATTTAAATAACAAATTATATATAAAATGACTAAAGACATTAAATCTTGTTAATACAATCTCTGATTAAAGGCACATCCACAAGAAGAGGACGTTCAACCTGGCAGGTGGGCCTCTTTCTCCTCCCAGGACCAGACATTCAGCAACTTCCATCTGTGTCTGAACGGCATGTGCTTACAAATAATGGATTAGGTTTGTCATTCACGTTTAAGCTATGGGATAGTTCACTGTAGTGTACCACAATTATAATAAATAGCCTAATCCTGCCACACAGAGTTTGTTTTACTCAAGTGTGTTATCATTAATGTAGTGAAATTCTTACTGGCAGGTAATCATGGGGCATTCTAGCCTGTATTCATTCATTCATTAGCCTGTACTCAAGCCAGTGCATGCAAACTTGTGAGAATCACATTGTTTGTTTATAGGTAGGCTAAATACTACACATATCCTATACATTGTTAATGTACAGCACAAATAGCCATTTATGGTTCCTGCTTGTCTTGAGGACACTAAATGTGGATTAATGTATCAAGACTGTTTGTGTCTTACACTGATTACAGTTGTATGAGCCATTTGGGCTGATAAAGTATAAATACTAATTCACTAGAAAGTAAGAAGACAAGCATTTTTATCAACATTTTACATCCCATCTATTACTATCAGTGCCAACTTGTCTGTAATACTGAGGAGAAATGCTAATTTTATTTACAAAATATTTTTCAAGGAATTCCAGCGAAGGAGGTAGCAGATTGCCAACTGTCCACAATCGATTTAAACTGGAGCCTGGCAGATGTGAATAATTTCGTTTGTCAGAGCTTCCCTATGATTAGTTTGAACCTGGTGGGTTTTGAGTTGGCAAAAGTAAACAGGGTGAAAAAAATCCAGAAGCTACAAGCAAGCTGTGTGAGAGATCTGAAGAAGGCTGTGGGAAAAAGCAGACTTTATGTTGTCCCTCGTGCTGAAGTGGGCCAGGTACAGTATAATTTAAGAGAGTCAGAATTGGTGTATTTAAAATCACTGTCACATTTCCATGATGCTGTCTCTACAGCCAATCCCCTTGCCTCTAAATCAACCATCCACAGGACCTAACTTTGAAACAACAGAGGTAATTTAAGTAGTTTCAGTTGCTTCTTTTTACAGAATGAATAAAAAACAAAGTAATATTGTAATATTATTTTGTAATATTAGCCTTTTTTATGTTATTCTTTTACTGAAAAACTAAACACAAAACTGGTCAAACGACCAGTGACTTTTTTTGGCAATCATTAAATTATATAATTCTTTAATTTTGCATGTTTTCATTACTATTTGGTTGCTGTATTTTAGGTAAATTATTACAGTTCTTCAATTTCACTGTAGTTAAAGACCGTTAAATGGTATATTTCTATTCACTGTAAGATTTTCTTGATATTGTGTTTATAGACAAGTGACTTGCCTCTGAGTGAACCAATCACAGGGCCTCAACCTGAAACGACAAATGAATTAGAGGTGATGTAAAACGTATTTCATTGTAGTAATTTTATGTACTCAGAGAAAATAAAAAATATATAACATGAAAATTTAGATTACCATGGCCTGAAAACTTGTTTTCATAACTACGTGGAAATTTTATGGAAACTACTGCAACAATGCACAAATTGTATAGAGAGAGATAATGTGAGATAATTAATGTTGTTGCATAAATATTATGATTTTAAACATTTTTATACTAAAATGTCTTCACAGGAGTGGAGAGCTATAAGGCATCAACAAGACCAAGAGTATGAGCAATCACTGAGAGCGGATCAGGAAAAGGTATGTCTTTTAACATTCTTCAAAAGTGTTTCTATATGGAAAATAGAACCCAAAATATTACTGACAGATGCCGATTCATGTATTGGCAGGATCGGAGGACAGAAGAAATATCTCAATATGAAGAGAGGCGCCTTAAGGTACATAAAAATTTTCGACGTGCTTTTACTCAGGAAGGTGCTTCTTTTTAAAGTCTCATGCACGTGCACCAATGTTTTTCAAAATAACATTTGTCTGTCTCACAGATAATACAGGAAAGACTCATGAGGACAAATGAAGAACCAGCTGATGGCATACCACTAAAATTTACTTTCCCAGATGGCACAATGAAAATTAGACGGTTCCAAGTATTTGATCAAATACAGGTAAAACCGTTGAATGACTCTATGTTGAGTGTTATGTGTTCCTAAATTGTTAAAAAAATTTAATTACTATTTTGTAAATGCACATAGTTGATGTTATTAATGGTTTACAGTATAGTAGCATATATGATAACCTTGAATGTAGTAAGTACACTTAAATGATGTGCTTTCTGCTTTCTTGTGTTTTTGTTTTTAGGCACTGTTTGACTTTGTGGGAACACATTCCTCAGCCACAGAGTATTTTTACATAAAGGAAGCTACATCAGCTGTATCAATATCTAGCACAGTTCCCGGCACTCTTCTGGATCATTACTTGAATGCCCCATTGAACATTCATGTTCGATGGATGGAGATGGAAGATGTACAAGTAAATAAATTCCTATATGAAAATTTTAATTATTTTAACTTAATGAAATACTTTTGTAGGACTTCAGAAAATACAAACAAAGTAGGTCTTGAATCAGTTACCATATTTTTTTCAGTAAAAGCATGATGGCTTTTCAGATAATACTACTGTATCATCTTTCCATATTAATTACAAAATAAAACAACTTCATCTTACATAGATACTTAGATACCAATGCTTTTATAATTGTTTTAATATGAAATATTTCTTTTTTTTTTCAGGCCCTTTTCCACCAGCAGAATTCAGTTCTTTTGCCAAGTCCAGATGAACTTGAGACTAGCGAGGTTCAAGATGACCTTGAAACAGTGGAATCTGTGACTCCAGACGAAATTCACAGTCAAGATGACATGGAAATCATGGATTCTGGTTCTCGAGAAGAAATGTACTCAAATCACAGAGAAAATGTCTCTGAAACAGTGGATTCTGGACCAGAAATATATAACAACTACAATAATATAATGCCAGACAATGATTTACCTGAGCCAGATGACCAAGATCATCAAGATGGTTCTGAAGTTATGTAAGTAACTATTATATTTTGTGACTGTTGCTTTGTGATCTTTTACGTGATCTTTTAGTTGTATATGAAAACTTTATTTTGATTGCTTGTCTACTTAATGGCTCAGGTATTTGGAAGACTTTGTCGGTTCTACAGAGGATATACTTTTGGAGCTTGGGAAAGAAATAAACTACAACTTAAGCTGCAGATTCAACATTAATCGAAAAAATCTACTAGATGGTGCATTCAGAGCATTTGGACGAAAATCCTATGATCCCTTCAAAAGAATTTCTGTCCGATTTTCTGATGAATGTGGAAATTTTGAAGAGGGTGTGGATTTGGGAGGCCCACGGAGGGAGTTCCTTAGCTTGGTCTTAGAAGAAATTGAAAAATCTTCAATGCTTGCGGGCCCAGATGGATGCAAAAACCTTGCTCTTGACTCTGTTGGTGCGCACATTTATTTGATCTTTGTCAATCAAACAGAAATTTATTTCAATACTTCCACTGATTCATATGGTATTTTCAATTCACAAGTTTAAATTTAAACAGAAATGTCAAAATATGCTGAAGTTGAGATTTTTTAGCTGGTAGTGATGCTGTTGTGGTTCATCCTCTTTTTCACATTGTTGTAATAATTGTGACTTTTCCACTTCAGCTGTCAGACAAGACAGATACTATCTTGTTGGAAAAGCTATAGCTGTCAGCATGGTTCACGGGGGACCATCTCCAGGATTCTTTTCACCCACTTTGTTTGAATGCATCAGTAATGGACAAGTCTCACCCACGATAGAAGATGTAAATGACTTGGACTTGCAAGCTAAAATCAAAAAGGTATTGTATATTTATAAAACTAGTTATTTCCTCAACTACACTTTTTTTATAAAAATCTTTTGAATCAAATTAAAATGTCACTATTTCCATAGTAATTGTTTAAAATGCATGTACGGATTTTTACCCCTTAGATTTCACTTGCTGCAACCATGGAGGAGTTGTGTGAGGCAACAGAGTGTATGAGTGAATACCTGGCAAATGCAGGATGCCTTCGAGCTGTAAAATGCCTAAAAGACAAAGATCTGCTTTTACAAGACATCCTAATGTTCCAAGTCGTGAACAGACTTCATGGTCCACTTGAACGGTAAGAATGAAATATGATTACATGTAGAATAGCCTGTATTAAAATAGTAGAGTGCTATGGGTGGTATGCAATTCCAAATTTGGCAGCAGTTAATTTGTGCTCTTGTTTTCTTGGATCACTGCAGTCATTAGTAAATATATTAAATTATAATAGGGTTGTCAAGCTAATAGATAAATAAAACTGAAAAATTGTTTGGGATTAAAATAATTATTTTGAACATAGTAACCCAGTGCAGTAATGCACAGTCAGTCTGTCATTATTTCAGCAATATGTACATTACAAGTTCAATTAAGGTTCCTGAATTAAAGTCCCTTTTATCACAATGTACATGCAAATTAACATATAGTTAAAAATGAGTTATAATTAGGCCCACACGGAATCTGCACGCGCAAAATTCATCAGATTTTCTGCAGATTGTTAGCCCATTATTAATTCTATTTATTTACTTGAGTAAATGTGTGTAAATCTATATTTATTCAGTTTTTAAATTAATTACAGTAATATTATTGACTAATATGAAAATGTTCATCTGATTTGTATACAATGCAGTTTGTACAGTAATATTTTATGTCTTTTAATAGAGATATTATATTAGAGACTTGCTTTGTTTACCAAATAAAGTGAATCTAATTGTATTTGCACTTTAAACAGTAAATACAAGTTAAAAAGATATTTTTTATTTCATATATTAAGGTTTTAGTTATGAAACTCCCAAAATAATTCAGCAGAAATCCACAGGTTTTTTACCTAAATTCTCTGCAGAAATAGCAAAAACGTCCACAGATTTCGTCTGGCCCTAGTTTTAATTAAGGCTCCTGAATTAAAATCCCGCTTATCACAATGTACATAAAGAAAATATATATATACTTAAAATGTGTTATTTTGTACCATTTTTATTTTTTCCCCATTTTATAATGACTAACAGATTCTTTATCCCATTAGAATATATTTTTTGTTTGTATAAGCCACTTATAACACTTTTCCAACAGCTTTTTGTAGCGTTTAAAACGTTTTTTTTTTTTGTTCTTTAAGACTTAAGGAGGGCTTGAGGACTCTAGAACTGTTGGAGGCTGTTGTTAAACACAAAGAAGCCTTCAGGCCCCTTTTTTGCAGCCCACCACAGCCACTTACAGCAGATGCCCTCGATCAGTTATTCGATATTCGTTACTCCACTGTTGGAAGTAACAAGCGGGCAGAGGAAAACACCACAGTGGCATTCTGGAGGGACTACCTTATAGATGTAGAAGGTAAGTAATGGTTTCTTGTATTTACTCCAAAAAAATGAATTTCTAAATTACTTTGGCTTAGTTTCTTTAGTAATTAGGCTTTAAAATAGGCATGAATTATGAGAGCATTGCTACCCAACAGTATTATTCCTCATTTTTTGTATTTGTGCTAAAGTAGGGGTGTCCAAATTCTGTCCTGGAGGGCTGATATCTTGCAGAGTTTAGCTCCAAACTTGCTTAAACACACTTGCTTGGAAGATACTAGCATGCCTAGTAAGACATTGATTAGGTGGTTTGAGTGTTTAGTCAGGGTACGAGCTAAATTCCGCAGGATGACGATCCTCCGGGACCAGGATTGCACACCCCTGATGTAATTACTAAGCCTTTTCATATTTATATAATTATTAATTTATTTATTCATTAATTTATTCTTTTTTTACAGAGGGCACCTCTAGCTGCACGCTACAGAAAATTCTTACATTTGCAACTGGATGCTGTGCTCTTCCTGCAATAGGATTAAAGCCACAGCCATCAATTGAGTTCTTGCACCCCATGGACACTTCCGAGAGAGAGAAGTTTCCAACTGCAAACACATGCATCAACTGTTTGCGCCTTCCTTTGCACAAAAACTATGAAATGTTTAAGTCTAATATGGACTTTGGCATTTGCAACACTCAAGGGTTTGGTCAAGAGTAGTATGAGAAATATTTGAAGGGCTACTTTGTTGACAAGTTTGTTGTCTTAGATTTCAGTATACATTCTGCAAAGTAATGAAGAGTTTAGAAAAAGTTTAGAAAAAAAACTGAAATATTAAATATCAGTAATAAGTTTTATGTTGAAGAAGTCTTACTCTGTTCTTAATACAGAAAAAATGTTTTAAAAATGGTTTAAAATAAAAAGTGCAAAGTGTTTTGAAATGTTGACTTTTTTAATAGAATGACATACACAACATACAAGAAAAACTACAGTAAAACAACTATATAAAACATGCTAGATATTTTGTTTATGTTTTTAATGACTGTTTGTTAGCTGAATGGAAGTTTAAAAAAAACCTGCCTCAGCAGTCAGTAAACAAATATTCTAAAGCTTTGGTTCTAAAAAAAAAAAAAAAAAAAATCAGTCAAACACACTACAGAAACAAACTAGCAAGCTAGTTTAAATACATTTTTCACTCTGTCAGTCTCAGTCTATGGGAAGTTTCATTACAGCAAATTTGATATTTCAATTTTAGGTCTGCAGTGCTCTCTAACACTGGGTTATTGGACATAAACGGCAGGGAACTGGTCATTCAATTTAACTGGGAAACTGAATTCCATGTTGTGCCCGAAGTGTTTCTAAATTCTGCTCTCTAAATCTATCATCATCAAATACATGGTTGATAGAGGTGCTATCTACTCCCATGTTTGTCAGCATGCCATCTTTCCAGATCTGTTAGCGTGTCCGGTTGTCCTTAGAGGGTGATAATTCTGTACTTCATGAAACCTGCTCAGTCTACTTTGTATTTCAGGTAAGTAAACTAGCTAAAGAGAAAGTTTATGAATGTCATTTTCAGGATCTAGGGTGCAATATGAATAAAAGTATGGGTAAAAATCTCACCTGTTGTAAGTCAGGGAGAACTATGTGAATGCACTACACCTTTTAAAATCATAAATTACAGTAGGGTGAATTACTGTCAATGTTTTTCTATAATATTTGTTTACTGCACAAATGTGAATGAAAATATTGGTTAAATCTCACCTTACAGTAGGGTGAATTACTGTAAATACTCAAAATTCAAAGATATTTGCGTACCTTATATTTATATGAATAGATGTATGAATAAATCTCAAGTGTAGCAAGTCTGTTTGGCCTTTGGGAATGTACTGCACTTTAAAATGAGAATGTACTATACAAATATGAATGGAAATATGAGTAAACTGACCTGTAGTAAGGCAGTCTGGTTTCTGGGGATCTGGGGTGTAAATATTTTCCATAGTAATGTTAATATGGGCAAAATCTCCCCTGTTGTAAGTCAGTTTTGTCCATAGAAATGTGAGCACACTTAAAAATGAGAAGCTTACATCTAGGAGAAATACTGTAAATATTCGTTTCATATATTTATGTGATGTACATAAATGAAGGCGAAAATGTGAGAAAACATTTCGGTGATTTAGCTGATGTATAGGCCTACTGTATGCTTATGACAAGAGATATTGCCTGTTTCTGCTTTGTACTATATAGTTAGAGGCATCGTAGCCTTGCTACCTGTAGTAAATCAGCTTGGCCTCCATACTGGAATCTTCTAGAAATATATATATATATATATATTATGCTTTGCGTTGCTGTTTGTTTTGGTTGTGTCGACGTAATTTGCAGATGATCCCTACAATTGCGTGCGCGAATGTCCAGCGAATATCAAACCTAAAACCAACTTTACCGAGCTAGACTAGCTTAGTAGTAAATAGGCTTACGCAGCATCTGTGTATGATACGGTATCGTAATAGATTATTATACATATTACAAATAAAAAGCGAATTTGAATGATTGAAAGCTTCATTTCTGCCCTCCCTGAGCGAATGTCTGATGAAAGCTCTAAAATCCGAAATGCTGTTGCAAAGTTCTTCTGTAAATAACCGTCCCTAAATTCTGCTAGATTTTAACAATGAAGAATCAATTTGCATCAACTGTGCGCGTCCAATGTTTCCCTAGTTTATCGATCTTTCAATAAAGTTGCATTTTCTGCATATTTGCTCAAGTATTCTGCCATTTGCACCTTCTGCCTTTCCCTTCTTTCCGTTTCCTGTGTAATCTCTTCCCTATATGTTCCTGGTTCATGAATATTCAACATATGATAATTGGCGAGTACTCGCTTCATTCGCGCGTCAAACCCGCTTCATTCGCGTGAAGCGAATATCAATATATGATATATAAATGATATATATGATATATAAATGATACATATATATGATATTATATGATATATAAATACCTACCTATTTATCTGTTCTGTGGTGTCATGTTTAAACAATAGTAAAATTAGTAAAATTAAACAGATAAATTACAGGTTTCATGATGCTAAATAATGGTATCAAATGTGACACATTAGCCCCTTTCACACATACAGAGCTTTCCGGAAAGGTTGTATGTGTGAACAGGTCCTTTTTGAAAATACCGGTAAATTCGTTCTGGCTATTTTCCGGAAAGAGAAGTTGTAACATTACCGGCAATTTGCCGGAATGCTGCGCTGTGTGAATGCAGAAGGAAGATTACCGTAATAAGCGCGTGCACGTCTAGAACGTGCTGACGTGAGACGTCTGCTTTAGCCAATCACAACAGTCAGACGCATTTACGTCCGCGCGGTTTGTGAGAATAAAAGCCTTTGAATATTTTTCCAGACACATTTAGCTGCTAGAAGTTAGTCAGATTACGTTTATATGTTCTTCTTAATGCCAACTGTGTAAATAATCATCAATGAGATGCTTATGATAAGCCGTTGTTTGTTTACCTTCAAGCTTTGCGTGTGCCTGTAAAACAGCCTGTAAGCGCCTGCACACGCATATTATGAACATCTCGACATGCGAAAGTGATCCTGCGAAAGTTGTTCACAATATTGATCATCCACAGAGTTTGTAATTTAGTCAAATGTTTACAAATACAAGCGCAGTCGTTTAAAGCTCATTTGTGGTGAATGATGTCAGAATTTACCGGTATTTTGGAATGGATGTGTGAATGCTCTTTTCCGGAAAATTTCCGTAACGTCCTCGCCTGTGTGAACAGCGCTTTTTTGAAAATACCGGTAAAGTCGTTCCGGAAATTTTCCAGATATTTACCGGTATAACTGTGTGAAAGGGGCTATTGACAGAAATGGTATATTACCCAGTTCTTATGCAACCAATGAGATTAACCCTATTTAGCCCCTTTCACACATACAGACCTTTCCGGAAAATTGCCGGCAATTTTCCAGAACGGTTGTATGTGTGAACAGGTCCTTTTTGAAAATACCGGTAAATTAGTTCTGGCTATTTTCCAGAAAGAGAAGTTGTAACATTACCGGCAATTTGCCGGAATGCTGCGCTGTGTGAATGTAGAAGGAAGATTCCCGTAATAAGCGCATGCACGTCTAGAACGTGCTGACGTGAGACGTCTGCTTTAGCCAATCAGTCAGACGCATTTACGTCCGCGCGGTTTGTGAGGATAAAAGCCTTTGAATATTTTTCCAGACACATTTAGCTGCTAGAAGTTAGTCAGATTACGTTTGTATGTTCTTCTTAATGCCAACTGTGTAAATAATCATCGATGAGATGCTTATGATAAGCCGTTGTTTGTTTACCTTCAAGCTTTGCGTGCACATATGAGCGCCTGCACACGCAGATAATATGAACATCTCGACATGCGAAAGTGATCCTGTGAAAGATGTTCACAATATTGATCATCCACAGAGTTTGTAATTTAGTCAAATGTTTACAAATACAAGCGCAGCCGTTTAAAGCTCACTTGTGGTGAATGATGTCAGAATTTACCGGTATTTTGGAATGGATGTGTGAATGCTCTTTTCCGGAAAATTTCCGTAACGTCCTCGCCTGTGTGAACAGCGCTTTTTTGAATATACCGGTAAAGTCGTTCCGGAAATTTTCCGGATATTTACCGGTATCACTGTGTGAAAGGGGCTAAAAGCCCCTTTCACACATACAGACCTTTCCGGAAAATTACCGGCAATTTTCCGGAAAGGTTGTATGTGTGAACAGGTCCTTTTTGAAAATACCGGTAAATTCGTTCTGGCTATTTTCCGGAAAGAGAAGTTGTAACATTACCGGCAATTTGCCGGAATGCTGCGCTGTGTGAATGTAGAAGGAAAATTGACGGAATAAGCGCGTGCACGTCTAGAACATGTTGTTGTAATGTTTTAAGTTGACTAGTTACACAATAAACAAAAAATCGAAATCGTGAATCTGTCAAACTTTATTAAAAAAAACTAGATTTTTTTATTTTTTATTTTGCCAAATCCCCCAGCCCTAATATAGGCTTTACCTTTTCAGAATGTCATATGTTCACAAAAGTCTGTCCTATACGTTAGCTCATTTGAATTGATTTGACAGTAACCTTGTTTGCTAGATTAAATAGTTTTTAGTCACTTTACTGCAAAATTAAAGAAATGTTAAAATCACTACGAGTGTTAAGAAGCTTGTATTCTTAAACTCCAAACTCAAAGTAATGTCACCCCTGTTCAGTACATGGTTCACTCCAATATCCACCCACTCAATCTCTGACCAATCAGGACTGCCGCAAATGCCTTAACTGCACCTGTGCCCACAGTTTGCTCTTTCTGGCAGCACATGGCTGAACTGTGCAGAGGACTGAACATGATTTCCTTTGTTGTTTTTCTGTGTGTGCGTATTTGACAAAGTAAGTGGCTTTTGTATGATTTAAGCTGACTTAAGTGCTCATGTTTAATGTTTGCCATGTTTGTGTTTAGGTATGTACTTTGTTTGTTAGTAGGCTGAAGCATTGTATTTCTGTTATTTCCTTACTGATTACTGACATTGTATTTCTGTTATTTCCTTGCAGAAAACCACACACAAACACACATACACACCTTTCCTCCTGAGCACAAATCCTTGTTGATGGCTAATAAACGCAACTAAATGGAGTGACTAGACTGGACCTCTGTTTACCTTTAACAGCACCACTGGCTTCAAGCAAGCTACCTAAAACTTTCCCTCCTAACTCCTGTTCATGGTCCTTAGAGCCGGAGCATTGATGATCAGTGGATATGTCACTCCCTGCCCTCATTGTCTCAGCATGAGCGCCCACACCGCCAGATTCAGCTCCCGGCACGTTATGATGATTTCATCCTGCAATATCAGCAGCCACGCTCTACAGCAGAAACCCAGCAACCTCTTAATTCAACGGATATGCCTGGCACTGGCCCTCACTACCAACCTTGGAGGAAAGAGGAATCTGAGGATGGTTTGGAAGAGCCAGACCAGCCTATGGAGGACAATCAGGAGGATGCTCCACATTCTACACGCTCCCACTCAACCTATCTGAGGGAGCACAAACCCCTGATGCTGAACACCCCTATGCTTCCCCAATGGCTTCGGTTTCTGATGCTCAGACCACCCTGTTACAGCAGATAATAAAGGAAATTAGAAATCAGGGTAGATTAATACAGCAGTGCATGCTTAAAACTAGTTCCCTTCCTCTTCCACCTACACAACAGCTTCAATCTCCTCTAAGCCTTGCACCTCCTACCTCATCCAGGTTGCAGTCATGTCAGCATCCGCATCCTCCTGGTCATATTGAATTGCCTGCTGCATCCCAGAAGTGCTTACCCTTTCTTGGTCTGTTCACAGACTTAAAAGGTAATCCTCATCTTGTCTTGAACGAAGGGCTCGCCACTCATGCAAATCCTATAAATCAACATGAACAATGCTAGACCACCAAGTCTAAGGTTAAACGACTATATTTAAATATATTCCCTAGAATTAAACCTTAAGATTTAAAACAAATTGATTGGCCACATATTTCTTTGTATTATAATTAACTGTATAATAAGATTCAGATGAAACATCCTGTTAATGCATAATAAAATCACTGAGCAATAAAGCAATATAAACATAATTGTTACTTTGTTGCAATGTAATAGTTTAATAGACAATTAACTATTAAATAAATGATTTGCTAATAACCGTATACTGATGGACTTACATCCCTCTCATTTTGTTTGAAATATACAATAAATTCTAGAAACTGGTTTTGCATATTATCTTCATCCAAACATCCAACAGAGATGATCTTCATCCTAAAATAAAAAAAAAATAAAAAAAACATTTAATATTTTATCAAAATATTAAAAAAAAAGCCATAAAAATAATATAAATAAAAAACGATAATACATTTTCTTCATTTCCTTGCATTATGTTCTTCTGCCTGCTCCTCCAAATGTTCCTTTTAATGCAATATACATAAGTCTATATCAAGAATCTCCACCCAAAGATTAAGGTAATTAAATAGTTTATCAATAGCCAAAATTACAAAACTTTTAGCTCAAGTTATCTACAGTACCTTTGGTAGTAAATATAACGCTGAGAGATTTAGCTCCCGGCTGGCTTTCAGAACGCAGGGTGAGAGAGAAGAAACATTAATTTTACTGATGTTTTAATGGCAATCAACCCTGGCCAGATCAAATTCAGTACTGCCCAGTTGAAGAAAGGCTGATTGAAGAACATCAAGGAACTCCTCAGGCGACAGAGACACAGGAACTTTAATTTTTTTTAAAGACTCAGCTGTAAAAAGAGAAAGAAAAAACTAATAAAATTGAGTTTACTTACTGATTCAGAATTATCTTACAATCGCCTATGCATTATCAAACCTTTTTGGGGATGAAAAACTCCCAAATTAGGGAGGAGCAGGAGACCAACTCTAAAAGTAAGCTGCCGTGTTTGCTGCCCCCTCCTCCTCCTCCGTGCTCCACCAGGGTCAAGGTCATTTTGGACTTGCATCCCTGTCATTTTGTATGAAATATACAATAAATTCTAGAAACAAGTTTTGCATACATTATATTCGTCCAGACTTTCAAATGAGAACTGATCTTCATCCTAAAAAAAAAAAAAACATTTAATATTTTATCTTTTTTTTTAAAGTCATTAAAATAATAATTCAAATAAAAAGCAATAATACTTTTCATTTCCTTGCATTATGTTCTTCTGCCTGCTCCTCCAAACGTTCCTTTTAATGCAATATACATAAGTCTATATCGGGAATCTCCACCCAAAGATTAAGGTAATTAAATAGTTTATCAATAGTCAAAATTACAAAACTTTTAGCTCAAGTTTTTTACAGTACCTTTAGAAGTAAATATAACGCTGAGCGATTTAGCTCCCGGCTGGCTTTCAGAACGCAGGGTGAGAGAGGAGAAACATTAATTTTACTGATGATTTAATGGCAATCAACCCTGGCCAGATCAAATTCAGTACTGCCCAGTCGTGGAAAGGCTGATCGAAGAACAATAAGGAACTCCTCAGTCGACAGGGACACAGGAACTTTAATTTTTTTTAAAGCCTCAGCTGCAAAAAAAAAAAAAAAAAAAAAAAAAAAGAAATCTAATAAAATTGACAGTTTACTTACTGATTCAGAATTATCTTACAATCGCCTATGCATTATCATACCTTTTTGGGGATGAAAAACTCCCAAATTAGGGAGGAGCAGGAGACCAACTCTAAAAGTAAGCTGCCGTGTTTGCTGTCCCCTCCTCCTTCTCCGTGCTCCACCAGGGTCAAGGTCATTTTGGACTTGCATCCCTGTCATTTTGTATGAAATATACAATAAATTCTAGAAACAGGTTTTGCATACATTATATTCGTCCAGACTTTCAACTGAGAACTGATCTTCATCCTAAAAAAAAAAAAACATTTAATATTTTATCTTTTTTTTTTAAGTCATTAAAATAATAATTCAAATAAAAAGCAATAATACTTTTCATTTCCTTGCATTATGTTCTTCTGCCTGCTCCTCCAAACGTTCCTTTTAATGCAATATACATAAGTCTATATCGGGAAAATCCACCCAAAGATTAAGGTAATTAAAAAGTTTATCAATAGTCAAAATTACAAAACTTTTAGCTCAAGTTATCTACAGTACCTTTAGAAGTAAATATAACGCTGAGAGATTTAGCTCCCGGCTAGCTTTCAGAACACAGGGTGAGAGAGGAGAAACATTAATTTTACTGATGATTTAATGGCAATCAACCCTGGCCAGATCAAATTCAGTACTGCCCAGTCGTGGAAAGGCTGATCGAAGAACAATAAGGAACTCCTCAGTCGACAGAGACACAGGAACTTTAATTTTTTTTAAAGCCTCAGCTGCAAAAAAAAAAAAAAAAAGAAATCTAATAAAATTGACAGTTTACTTACTGATTCAGAATCATCTTACAATCATGTATGCATTATCATACCTTTTTGGGGATGAAAAACTCCCAAATTAGGGAGGAGCAGGAGACCAACTCTAAAAGTAAGCTGCCGTGTTTGCTGCCTCCTCCTCCTCCTCCTCCGTGCTCCACCAGGGTCAAGGTCATTTTGGACTTGCATCCCTGTCGTTTTGTATGAAATATACAATAAATTCTAGAAACAGGTTTTGCATACATTATATTCGTCCAGACTTTCAACTGAGAACTGATCTTCATCCTAAAAAAAAAAAAAAAACATTTAATATTATCTTTTTTTTTAAGTCACTAAAATTATCCAAATAAAAAGCAATAATACTTTTAATTTCCTTGCATTATGTTCTTCTGCCTGCTCCTCCAAATGTTCCTTTAATGCAATATACATAAGTCTATATCGGGAATCTCCACCCAAAGATTAAGGTAATTAAATAGTTTATCAATAGTCAAAATTACAAAACTTTTAGCTCAAGTTATCTACAGTACCTTTGGTAGTAAATATAATGCTGAACGCTTAAGCTCCCGGCTGGCTTTCAGAACACAGGGTGAGAGAGGAGAAACATTAATTTTACTGATGATTTAATGGCAATCAACCCTGGCCAGATCAAATTCAGTACTGCCCAGTCGAGGAAAGGCTGATCGAAGAACAATAAGGAACTCCTCAGGTGACCGAGACACAGGAACTTTAATTTTTTTTTTTAAAGCCTCAGCTGCAAAAAGAAAAAAAAATAATTTTTGGGGATGAAAAACTCCTAAATTAGGGAGGAGCAGGAGACCAACTCTAAAGGTAAGCTGCCTTGTTTGCTGCCCCCTCCTTCTCCTCCGTGCTCCACCAGGGTCAGGGTAATTTTGTCAGAACATTCTCAGCCTGAAAAAAGGAGACAAATTAAATGGAGATTGTTAATGCAAAGTCAGATGTGTGTTACTGGTATTACATTTACTGAATTGTACATGAATTAAAGCCATCATAAAAATCCACCAATACAAAAAAAACTCCGCCTGTCCTTGACCATTATCACATTATTTTGTTCTTACTGTGCTACAGACGGGCCCACCCCTAACCAATTTTGTGCCCTAGGCAAAATTTCAGACGGCACCCCGTCACAACACAGTAAATTCCACTGCTAGTGTACATATAAGAACCTTAATAGCTTTGTCTTGGACATTTGTTTATTTAAATAAAGCAACTGCACATTCAAAATACTTAGAAGGATTTGCAACGGTGGGACTGTGAAACCTCAGCAGCGTATCTAAAGACTTAAGGAGTATGTGACAAGTGTAATTATATATAAACACATGATTTTAAGAATAAAATTAAATAATATAAATAAAAAACCTAGAAATGCATGAAGATGTATACTATACTGTAAAGTACACAATGTAATTTTTCTGATATGCAAATTATTTGCAAAAGGCAAAGAATGAGTAAACTGCAGTATAATATACCATGTGGTAATTTACAAACATAATTTTTCCCCATATAATTCACCAACTTGGAACAATAGGTTCAATGATGTTGATGTGTAATTGTATTTGTGTTTTATTTGCACTGTCTGTATTTTGCAATGTCGTTGTATTTGCATTGTCTGTATTTTGCACTGTAATTGTATTTGCACTGTCTGTATTTTGTACTGTTTGGAGCCAGCACCTAAGCTTTTCACTCATAATTACACACGTACTGCTGATGATGTGATAATAAAAGTGATTTGATTTAATTTGAATAGGTACATTTTATTTAGAAACTATATATATATATATATATATATATATATATATATATATATATATATATAAAGATTGATGGTAGAAAGGTCTTTGGTTGGTTGTCCATCTATTATTCTGAGTTAAATACCTAATAAAATAATAAGATCAATATTAACCCAAGATAAATTTCCAATACAAGCTTATAGAAATAACGTGTCTTTTCTTTTTTTTTTTCTTTTCAATGCAATTTATGTTATAATACCTGCCAATTAGATCTAATATTTACACATTTGCCTGAGGAAGGAATGATGGGGTAGTTACATTATTAATTTTCACACCATCTATGCCATTCCATTATTCGCTGTATTTAAATATTGATTAAATTTACTATAGTTATTCAGTGAAGAGCAGCAAATGAATCTTATTTTGTTTTGATTGATAATAGAGTTGTGACGGATCTGCCCAAATCTACCCTGCTGAAAAAAACAGCATATGCTGGTCTTGCTTGTTTCAATGCTGGTATAGACGTAAACGGGATGATAGTGGACAAAAATGGGAGGGTTGACAGGTGCGTGTCATGCTAATTGCTAATGGCGTTATCAATCTTCTTTCAGATACAGCAACATAATCATCTTTATCGTAACATTACCTTTGTCTTTGTCGCGGTTTTACTTCTGCCTCCCCTGCGTGCACAGCAGACAGTTTGGGACGATTTGAGGTGTTTAGCTTGTTGAACAATCACAAAAATGACCACCGAGTAGCAGGTACAGTCTAATTATCGTGAAGAGGGGGGTGTTTTGGGCAAGTAGGCTATATATTATTATTAATACTACTACTACTACTACTTGTTGGTTTTGCAGTATGCAGTCAAATTAACGTGGGCTTATTCTTTTCTGAAGGCATAATACCAAATAATTTTAAGAATAGTTTTTCCTTCCACCCTTTCTGGCACCCCCCTCGCGATGAGAAGTTCGGATCATGTTACTAGGTGCGTTTGACAAGAAGCACAGCTGCAGCCGGTGATCAACGAGATTAGCCGAGCGCAGGCGGAGTTGAAAACGGAGCTGTCAAGCCGGACAGCCACCGGCGTAAATCCCCGGGGGATGCATTTTGAAAATGCATTTAGAAACAGTTGGGTTCCCCCTCCCTTTCCTCAAGAGTGGTTTGGTCCACTGCCTCATCTCGCCTGCTCACACATACACACACACCATACCTGTCAACCCTCCAGTTTTTTTCCCGGGATTCTCCTGTATTTTACAGTTCTATCCCGCTATCATCCCATAAAGGTATTTTCCCGTATTTTCAGTGTTTCTCTGAAGGGTGGCAAGAAACATTAAAGAGCCGAGGCTCCCTACACGCAACCCATACCGCCGAACCACCAGGGGTCGCTCCTTGCTCTTAAACGTAAGTCTGTTCTGTGCTTTCGCTTTCTTTAGGTATTGTTTAAACAGATATACACACATAATTAATAACTTGGAGTTTAAACATCACCCTAGGCTAATACTTCTTGTTTGAATATGGTAAAAAGGGGTTTACATTTATTTACATTTATAGATATACAACTTTCCAGTATATAATAATGTAAAACCCAAAACAAGGTGTTTTGATTAAGTCTTAAACAATGATTAAGATTATTTTGGATAATAAAAGCATTTTCAAAAAAGCACTTTAAAAGATTGAACAAATAGACGTTCCTGAAATAAGTGAGCTACACTTTAAGTAGAAGTTTACCAGAAAGAGCAGGTACATCAATGTCATTTATTTAAAACTTGCATAAACGGCTTGACAGGAAATATACACATATTTTGTAATAATATAAATAATTTTGGAATTATTTAATAAAATATTTCTTTAACCTAATTTGTTAAGAAACCTTTAGGATGGCAGGATCAATGATGATAATTATTTTATTACACGTCTGTAAGACTTTGAGTTCAAATTCAGGTTATTCACCAAATTTAAATTCTATACAGTATAGAGCTGAATACAGTATAAAATGTTGATAATAAACCTATGCAAACAATTTATTCATTAGGAACAAATTATTTTACAAAAGATAATACTGCAGTAAAATAGTTGTAGTTTTAATAGGCATGATGTGTACAAGATAGAGAGGGTATGAAAAGTGAATTGCTTGTTTGGAAGTTTGTGAGACAAAAGTTGTCCAATAATAAACCCGAAACACACGTGGTTGTTGTCATGCGGTAAACTCGGCCAATCGTGTAATATCGGTGTCGTCATCACAGCTCCAGTAGTCGCTCGCCATATGCAGCACTGGCTCAATCAGTCGTCTGATGTCGGAGCGCTGTCGCGGTACTTTGATGCCACACGTGACAGTCACGTGGCGTCCGCGCAGCATCAATCTGGACAAAATTTCTAACCGGCATGCACCGCTTTTTTACATGAAATCGAACGCACCATAGTTAAATTTTCGAGTCCTCTATCAGGTTTGAGTCGTTCGTTTATCACATGAAAGACGGAAGCCAAAACATATGCAGTCACAGCCGGAAAAAGATTTGATCCGTTCATTCCTTGAGTCTTCGGTTTTGAGTCATCTCTTTACATGTTGTCCTGTCTTAACGAACAATTCAAAAACCCAAAGACTCAAAAGGTGAACCAATCATGGGTGTTTCCAGCTTAGACTGTGTGCATAGATTAAGCTTATATGGGACTGTCAGTGTCAGGTGAACGAACGGCTCAAATTTGAAGACATGCCAGAAGAGGTGAGCAGAGTTAATCATAGTCAAAACACCCTGTAAACAATAAAGATTAATTTCTTTTTCTTAATTTTGTTTTTGTAGTCAAGATTTTATTTTTCACTCCTTTTCTCATCTTTCACTTCATCTCGCAAACTAGCAGTTGCATTTAGCATATTTTTACCAAGCCGCCAAACTGACATCGTCACGTAAATAGTTCGAAATTAATTAAAGATTACAAAAACATTTTTCCCCAGTGAATTAACTTCTGTTTATTATCCACTTTTTCCTAAACATCTCAATAAAGAAGGACAATTCTATTGAATGAAATCTTATAGGAATGTCTATTTTTTAAATATGCAGTATTTCATCAATGCACTAGTTTTTGACTAAAGCTGCTCACACTGTGAGATTTAAGCCATGATTTTGTCATCTGAGACGAATTTGGGAAATCCTTAAAGATTCCGGTAAACATAGGCTTAAATCGGGCATCTTTGATCGTTGTTTTGACATGCTGCTTAGTGTCCGTTGCGATCAGATTTTTCCTCGGATGAAGTTCTGGCAAAGTTAGAAGATTTCAGACACTTTCCTGCAGTGTGACAACAGCTGCAATAGAAGAACCAATAGAAATTGATGACGCAATCCATGCGACGATTCAAATGACAGTGGGGAAATGTCAAAACAGTTTCTTTCTTCCTGGTATAATAATTGAGACATGCCGTGTGCAAAACTGCCGCTACAGATTGTTTACGTTTGCTGTGAGGAATCATTTCAGAACGCAGGATAGTGAAAGTGTTACGAATGGATGACGTCAAACTCCGGGGACATTTTCTTTCGTGTTTGGCGCGTCTTCATTGACGTTCATTCTGACTATATAACAGCTGAGATCTTACAGTGTTTGTGCCATGTTTGTGCAGTCTGACATGCCGCAGTCGTTCAGGATTATAAAAGTTTGTGCAGTGTAAGCCGGCCTTAAAGTAAAAGTTTATATTTTCTAATGCTAATAAATGATTAATTGGATTTACATATTTTTTAAGTGGTTGCAGCCAACTTATATAGAGTGAATTTAAACAAACAAATTGCGTTGAACATTAATAAAATTCATTTGTTTGTTTAAATTCAGTCCATATAAATTGTATAATTCAGTCCATATAAATTGTTTGCAACCACTTACACAGGCTCATTCTGAATATGTACCCCTATATACATTTTTGGAGAGCACCAAATATGTCCCAGGAGGGGACAAGGACAGCTTTCTGCTGTTCTCGCGTAAATCCACCAGAGGACGCTGTCGACTGACTGACTGACTGACTGATTGACTGACTGATCGACTGATTGACTGACTGATCGACTGGCTTATCTTTCTCCTTCCCTAAACCCAACCTATGGTGTTTTCAAAAACAATCCAGAAAAAGAAAAGCCCTCTCGGCTGCTGGATTTTTACCATGTTTTCAGATTTGACCACATTCTTACCCTGTTATTTACTTGTTCGTTTTATTTTTTGTCTTTTGTTTTTGTCTTACCTGCTCTCTGGAACCATTCTTCACCAGACTCCAACCCCGTCGTCAAAGACAACTCCTCTCCAAATCACAAGTCTGTCGGCACCGACGTATGCAGCAAGCCTCTGGACAGCACAAAAGTCGCTCATATGGTGGTAAGAGGACACCTGGTGAGAGAGAAAAGGATTGGCGTCATTCCGCCCCCTAGCGTTTATTTTAAAGATGAAATGCAGCCATATGTACTTCTGGCTATATAATGCATGATCCCCAAAAATTTATACGGGGCTACAGGGGTTTTCAGAATGAGCCTATGTTGAAAAGTTTTGTAAATCCAATGAATATTTTTCTTAGTGTGGTATTAAAGCTGGTGGTCAAAAGTTGTACCTTAAGTGTGTACAGCCTTGATGAAAAATCTGAAAATAGAAAATAGTTATTTCTAGTTTTTTCTAATATTATTGGGTTGATTTAAAAAAAAAAGTCACCAAACTTAAAATTGAAATAAAAAATCTGGTATTAAAATGGTCACGGTTCAAAATATTTTAACCAGTAAGTCTAAAGAAGGGTTAAATGGTCACAGATGTGTGCTAACCACATAAATAAATATTGCACATATTTACTTCATGTGGCTTTTCTACTAAAACCTTAATTAATTGAACGCATTTCATTCAAGCATGCAATTGTCTTTGCGACAACAGCAGCAGCAACTTCATAATGTTGAAATGTGTTTCATCACAATACTGGCAAAGAGCAAACACCCATAACAATGGCAATAATCACTAACCGAGAGAAACCCTCATCAATCATTGACCAAACCGTAATCTAGGGAGAAATGATAGCCTAGCTCTGGTTGATCTACTCAATCTCAGCAGTGCACTTGTGTGTCTTCTGTGCCGCATCTGATGGAATGCAGAGACAGGTTTAGACCTGAACTTCCGTGTGAGGCAGGAAGTACAGCCGAGTGTCAGTGACTAACATTCAGTGCTACAGCTCAGCGCTGCATGTCAGTTGGGTGGTGTCCACCGTTAAACAGGAAAGAGGCATTTTGCTCAAAACGGATTTATGACCCCATCACCTACTTATTAAAGCGGCCAGATAACCCAAGGTAAGTGATGATTTTTTTATTTATTTGTTGTGTTATTTATTTATTAGTAGTGTTGGCTATGACTGGGTTCATGCTGTTGATTTTGTTCAAAAATATCTGCTACATCTGACAATAATCAAGTAACAAGATGAAATTGTGGTAATATTGTAAAATCCTTAAAGCATAAGACCTGCTAAATTAATGAATAATTTTCTGACTTTACTGATAAGAAGTTAGTTCAGTGAATGCAAAGTTGGTTATGTATTTACTGATTAAGTGAATGAGTATTTTTGATAGTTGATTATGGTCCAGACATCAAGATGACCAAACAATTTGTTGTCTAAATGGGATCTGAGATCAGAATTTTTATTCTAGCTGGATTATTTGCTAATTAAAGCTATGGTTCACACAATAATAAAATTTAAAATTAATAATAATAACTCACTATTTACTCTCCCTCAACTGGTTTTTATGAGTTGCTTTCCTGTTCAACACAAATAAAAAAATACATTTTGAAAAATGTTGAAAGCTATTGGCGTCCATTGTAGGAAAAGCAAATACTATGGAAGTCAATGGCTACAGGTTTCCAGCATTCTTCCAAATATAATCTCCTGTGTTCAACATAACAATGAAATTCAAAGAGGTTTAGAACAAGGGTGAGTATATGATGACAGATTTGCCCATTTTTAAGTGAACTATCCCTTAAACTCGTAGTATTCTTGTAAAAGACTTGTGTATTTTCATTAAAACAGTACATAAAACAAATAACACTGCACTAATGCAAGTCATGTATTATCATTTGCAAAAAAGAAAGAAAAATAAATACTTATTTAGTCTAATAATGAGCTAATTTAAAGTCTGACTGTAGTTTTATTGATCTTTAATGTCAAACAAGATCACACTTTACAATAAGAATTCATTAGTATTTACTAACACAAACTAATAATGATCACTTGTACTGTAAAACATTTATTATTCATAGTTAATCATTATTAAAATCCAAATGCTTGCTAACATTGGCTACTATTAATACTAAAAGTAATAATACTAATAAGCTAACACTTTAGTTTAGGTCACAAATCATGCTATTAACTACTGGCTTATTACCTGTCTATTATTAAAATGTTAACTGTTTATTAGTAGTTATAAAGTATGATCTTATTCTACATCCCTAATCCCACCCAAAACCTAAACCCAACTTCTACCTTGTTAACCAATAAAAAACAGGTAATTAGTAGTTTTATTAACCTAGTAGTGTAGGTTAATGTTTTTTTAAAACCGTGAATTGTGACCTAAACTAAAGTGTTTCCACTAATAATTATACTAATAGTTAATAATGCTATTATTTAATGCACTGTGAGTTAACAAGAACGAACAACTTTATTTCCATTAGCATTGACAGATATAAATAAATAGTGTAACACATGTACTGTTCATGTTTGTTGATACATTAACTAATATGACCTTATTGTAAAGTGTTAGCAACAAAACATATATCTATTATCATTTTGCTTAATTTTTTTCCAAAAAATAATAACTTTTAACCAAAATTGTACTATACCAATACTTCAACAATTCAATGCAATGTCAATTTTAAAGAATCTAGACTATTCATGTTGAAATCGATTCCTTAAATAATACATTTTAATAAGTATGTCACAGTGTGAAAGCAAATTGAGTTTGTGATGTCATCTCTTGTTGACTTTGCAACCCAAGCTCATTCTGGCTTGCAAACAGTGGAGTGAAGTCACAAATTACAAACACTCAAATTACTTTAATTGATTAGTTTTTCATCAGGAATTGTACTTTACTAAGCAGTAAAAATTGTATAATAGTTAAAATGTGTACTTTTACTTATCCTTTTTAGTGCTGTATCGGTTCTTTTACTCCACTATTTTCCTTCAACCTGCAGTCACTACTTTATTTTTTTTCTTGTCCATGGTGATTGGCTAAAATAATAATAAAGTCCTGCGATTCCTGTCCAATCAAATCAAATAATACAGAACAAAATCAAAACACAAGACACAAAATTGTTACAGACAATGAGCGAGAGACGTTTAGATGCACGTTTATAGCTAAGTTTCCATCCAAAAATGCGAATTAAATTTATGCGCAAAGCTAGAATATCCAACACAATCTCACAGCAATTCGTAACTTTTTGAATTAGTGGCTAATTTGGATGAATTTTTAGGATCTAATTCATACAATTTAGTATGATTTGCTCATGCCCCAATGACGGTTGGGTTTAGGGGTGGGGTTAGGTGCCACGCCTCCTTTTTCAAATCATACAATTTTGTCTGGCTGAACTCGTACAAATTCATATGAATTAGCCACTAAACTGGCAAAGCGTAAAATGCTTACATTTTCTCATTTAACATTTACTCACATTTCACTTGCTGTTTGGCTTGTCTAAACCTGAATTATGTGCTCAGCTGTTTGCTATCATCATTTCTATCTGCTATATTATCATCATCAGTAATTATGCATATCTAATTTAAAATAATGCATGCTGTCAGTATTCTACATTAGCAAATAACAACCATTTGCACAGTAATGACTGTAGTAAGTTCATTTTCCATTAAAAAAAAAAGCACATTTTAGCCTCAAAGCTTCGTTTTTGTGCCACCAGATGTACTTTCTTATGATAACGAGGGTTAGTGTTTCAAGTATAACAGCTCACACGTTAAATTATAGCCAGACCATGACAGACATCATAGTACGGCACACCGGCTGAGCTAAAACACTGTGCCCGAGTGTTTGATGAAGAAACAAACAGGAGACTGTGTTTCTATCAGTTTACCCCAAAGTCAACAGCCTGTCTGGTGCTTTAATGACTGTTTTTCACAGACTAAAATAACTACTAAGGAATGATAGCATCTGAGCCGTTTTAAAAACATTACCGCAGCAACATTATAGCCATTCAGATCACTGGGAATATCAACTTGACTTACTGCCTTTTTGAATCATGGACTGCTGCATATACAGTGCATAATTGAGTGCACCCCATTTTTAATATATATATATATATATATATATATATATATATATATATTTTTTTTATTTTTTTTTTTTTTTTTATATATACTAGTTTCTCAGTGAATATTGGCAATGCATTTTGGTGCATTAAACATAACAGATTTATTAAACAGATATATTTATTAGAATAATATTTTAGTTACCGAACATATACAGAAATTGAAAGGTAATACAATTAAATTCAAGCAAAAGATGTACAACCTACAATTTTTTAACTAAATCTTTCAATTTTTTTGCTTCTCTTGATTTTTTTCCTCTTTTTTTTAAATTTGTAATTAATATTTTACTACATATACATTTGGCATAACTAGTTTTATCATAAGTTATTTTGTTAGATAAGCTCCAGATTTGGCTTTAGTACTGACAAATCTAATGTATATGCACAAATATAATTATATAGCTTCCTATTAAAAATATGAATTTAAAAGATAGATCTGTAAGGGGTGTACTTATATATGCTGAGCACTGTAATCATGGATGCTTGTAGAACTCCCTGTACATGCAAAAGCAGTCTTTTAAGTTGTTAAAACTTCAGCCTTGTGGTAAATAATAACAACATTGCAGCCTCACAGCTGACATTCACATGTCCTATATTCAGTTTGGTTTTATTGATATCTGCTCTTACTAGTGTTTGCTAAAATAAGCATCACTGTTATAGTTGTATCACAAATTCAAAGAGGGATTTAAACAAACTGTACATTTTATCACACAACTTAAACTAATTTTGATATTACAGAAATGAAATAGCACCTCAAATGGCTTGTTTTTGCATTACCTTTCTAAATAATTATACTTTTTGTCAGATTTAAATATATACAGCTAAAGTCTAAATTAAGTATTAGCCCCCTTGTAATATATATATATATATATATATATATATATATATATATATATATATATATATATATATACACACACACACATACACTGTATAACCCAACAGCCAACTTTATTAAAAGAAATGAGTGTAGTTAACACAAAATTTACCGAAAGTTAATTCTGCTCATTTGAAAAGAGCTTTGAACTCAGTGTTGAAGGTAATGAGTTAACTAAATACCTCATTACGTCAACTTAAATGGAGTAAGTTCACAGTACTCATTTAGATTAGGTTTTTTTTTCTCAAAGGGTTTGTAGCAGTCGGTTTCCTCAAACTGTTTGAGTTGCCTTTACTTATTGGGTTTTACAGTACTCAGTTGGCTTGAGTTCTCTTCATTTATTGGGTTTTACTGTGCTCAAAGTGCTTCATTTACTCAAATGAATTAAGTTAACAGTACCCATTTGGATTAGTTTTTGAACCTAAATGGTTTGTTGCAATCAGTGTCCTCAAATGGTTTGAGTTACCCTAACTTTTTTACAGTGTGTGTGTGTGTGTGTGTGTGTATGTATGTATGTATGTATGTATGTATGTATGTATGTATGTATGTATATATATATATATATATATATATATATATATATATATATATATATATATATATATATATCTTTTTTCAAATATTTACCAAATGATGCTTAACAGAGCAAGGAATATTTACTATAATATTTTTTTCTTCTGGAGAAATGTTATTTATTATGTTAATGTTATTTATTTTGTGACTTATTTTGGCTAGAATACCCTAACCTGACTAGTTACCCCATTTAATTTAAGCCTTGAATATGCTCTTTAAACTAAATAATATACAGTAAACATATATAGTAAAGTACTGTCAAAATGTAGTCATCATTGACAAATATAAAAGAATTAAAACCTAAGATGAACTGTAAAAATATATTGTTGTTGTTAATGTTGTTATTATTAATTTCATACACATTATTAGCCATTCACCTGCTTTGTATTTATGTAAAATGAAAAGTTTACCTGAAAGTACATTTTAAATCTTTATGGTTTAATAATAATTCATATTGTGCTTTATAGAAATGCACTTTTAGTCGACACAATCGTGTGTTATCTCTCAAAGTACGACTGGCTTGATTACAGTATGGCT